TGAGGAAAACAACTTAGAGGAGTGAGTTCACCCCCACGTTTCTGTAAAGCCCCATCTAATCTAAGCACAGCTCATAAATACCATTTATACAACTGCAGTGTTGAAGGAACAAAGGCATAAAACGGGCTCTCCCACTCCTTGCCAGGTGCTGCACAAAGTACTAGTGAGTACCTACTTTCCAGGTGGGAGTCCTAGTTCAGGACAAAGTCTGTTCAGATAGATAAGAGAGGTAAGCACTGAAGTGACTCACTTGATCCCCGTAAGCATGACGGCCAATGACGATGGGTTTCACCCACCCAGACACCAATCGGGGGATGTTCTTGCAGATAATAGCCTCCCTGAAGACTGTTCCACCTAGGATGTTTCTAATGGTCCCGTTAGGAGACTTCCACATCTGCTTCAACTTGAACTCTTCTACTCTTTTCTCATCAGGAGTGATGGTGGCACACTTGATGCCAACATGATATTTCTTTATGGCTTCAGCAGCTTCCACGGTCACTTTATCATTTGTAGCATCACGATGCTCAATGCCCAAGTCATAGCTGTAACAAACCCACAAACAGTCAGAATTGCCCAGGGCACTGGTTCACATCCAATAGGAAAGAAACCAGAGCCCCTAATTCCAGCACTCTGCCATAACTGAAGTTATTCCTCTCCTACTCCAGCAGCATCCTCACAAATAGAACACACGGGCTCATATACTGATATTTCAACAGTCATTTCAACAGTGGGAAGGTACACAAAGCACAGATTCAGTTTATGGCTGAAGATTCCAGCACAGGACACAGCCTGCATCTTTGCTTTCTCTTTTGATTTTCCCGGCAATGGAACTTCCCGCCTGGTTTTCTCATGGTATGGAACAGCACAATCCCCAAGTGAATATGGGCCTTTATTTTAAGTCTCTTGAACTGAGGGTTTCTGCTTCCTTACTTTACTGAAGTACACAAAGCAACACCAGGCTTCAAACTGAAAACTGCTTTGCCAATGAATCCACAATCCTGCTCCGGCAGCACAACTGCCAATAGTCTCCCTCAAGCACTCAAGAGGAAGCACGTTTCCTACACTCACTGTTTTAACAGCTTTCTGAGACTGCCCAGCGTGGGACAGCCCTGAAGCACAGCCAGCTCTGCATGAATCTAGCCATTGTGCTGGCTCAGCTAGGGGTCTGCATCGTCTCCTCCTACCCTTCTTTGAAAATAGATGTCCTCCAGACTGCGCATATATATTGTGCTGCTGAGTTCCTGTTTGTCTGCGTCTCAACAGTAGCAAGGAGAAAGCATGATGTAGGTGGCATACAAATAACTTCAAGAGCAGGGTACAAGGTCAGACCTGTGGGTTTAATATGAAGTCCCCTTTCCACACAGAAGAGAGCAACACTGCTGGATATTTATCTAATAATTAAAGCTTACTGGCTAGAAAGGAAAGGAACTGTTTGTTCTGCTTGACCAGATGCTATATACAGCACGTTCCTTTTGCCATACCACCTACTAGTATTTGCTTTTCCCAGAAGGGAGTGTAGAGCACGGCCTAGACTCAGGGAACAGTTGCAACAGTTAGCTTACACTGCCAGCAGCACAGGTCAAGCTTTGAGGAAATATGTCAGAGTTTGTGCCCTACAACCACACGTTCACCTTCTGGGCAGGTCTTCAGAGATGGAAAGAAGCTCTAGACCTGCTCAGAGTTCACAGGTGCTAGGCTTCAAACCAGGGAATGGCTGAAATAACCAATGCTCCTAATTCTTTAGGCTGCAGGAAGCCATGCAGACTGCCCAGGGACTGGAAAATGAAAATAGAAGAAAATGCAAACCATGACTGTGAGGGAACTTCTTGTTAAGCATTCACTGCTAACTGCTGTGAAGAATCCCCAGAGGGACTACCAGGGGAGAGTTAACCAAAGTACCTTCACCATGAGCCTACATTTTTCACAGTACTTAGTGAGATTGGTCCTTGAGGTAACAGCAAGGAGTCAGCCTTGAATGTTACTGGTATGAAAAGGGCAAGTTCGCCTCTCCACGTAAGTGCTGGAGGAGCAATAAATGAAACTTGAGCAATGCTTAATGATACATGCAAATTGCAGTACCAATTGGTTGGATGTCATAAAGAGCAATTACCTGTGCAAATCCAGATCTACATAAGGAAAAATCAGCTTTTCTTTAATTAATTCCCAGATGACCCGTGTCATTTCATCTCCTTGCATCTCCACAACAGACCCTCCATGGATTTTTTTAGACATCTTGATCTGCAGAAAAAAAAAAAAAAAAAATTCTAAGTTAAAAACTACCAACAGATGTATTCTGCATTTTTAAAACACAATTAGAGATACTAACATTGCATACATAACCACTCCTGAAGTCTAAAAAACAAACAAACAAAAAAAACAACACCACCAAAGCAAAAAACAAACTTAAGTAGTATTGTTCTTGAAATCCCAGCTCCCAGAGAGATCTGGGGACAAAGTAAAAGGTTAACAGTTGAGATTTAAGGGCAGGAACTTAATTCAGAGCTTGAATCATGGTTTTTAAGGAATTTTGAAAGCATGATCAAACTCTTTCCACCCAAATTTCACACCAGTAGATGGGCACTTTTAGAGACTTCATCAGCTCTAGTCCAGTTGCCTGTTTCTCCTATTAAAAAAAAAAAAAAATGCAGGTTGACATTTATTATAATGACAGCTCAGACTGCTGGCACTAAAATCAGCACATCAGATTCTTAATAGATTCCTTCTCCAGGCAAGAAGGAAGCAGGGACACACTGACAGTATCTTCTTCTGGCAAGTTTTACTTCAGTTGCATGTAGAAAACAAATGTGTCCAGTATTTATTTGACCAGAAGTTTCCCAAGATATTTATTCAGCCTTAAAAAAAAAAAAAAAAAAAAAAAAAAAAAAGCCACTGAACTCTACCCCTCCTTTTGTACTTTGCTCCTTGATAAAAACAAAACAAAAAAAAAAAAAAACACACCCCGCAATCCACTCAACTTCTCTAACACAGTGCTCTGCTTTTTTTTTTTTTTTTTTTTATTATCCAGTTCCTTGGTTCTCAACTCTAATTATGCAAGAGCTATGACTTGGCATTTTCTTTCCCCCCAAGACAGTCCAGTTCTTGTATGTAGCTGCTGGGATAGTACAGTGAGACACCAAGCCCTTGTGCCTGAAAGTCTAACAGACTCTGAGCTCCATGAATGGCTTTACCTAGATGAACAGACTCAGTGTTCAGTAACTCACAACCCTGTTTGATCCAATTTAACATGAGCACATAACATTGAAAAGTGAACCATCAGGCACTTCTATCCTAAATCTTGTTTCATATGAGGTCTTTCCAGTTCTCAAGAGAAAGTTTAAAATCACTTGATCACACTGCATTTATGCTCAGTTTACTTATACAAGTGTTTTGGGCCCACTTTCCAGGAACAGCAATGTAAATGAGGACTGTCTCACAGTCCTATAGCCCAGGCACAGGTCATTAGCCAGGAGCCTCTAGTTTGGCTTTTAGCACTCACACAGCCCGAGGAATTTTGGTTATTCATTTAAGCCACAGCCCCACCCACCATTACTTGTTTTGTGGTTTGATCCTCACTTAAACAAGATCAGACAACCTCAGTCTTCTCACAGCAATAGGTTTTGCAAAACTAGCTTAAGAACTCTGCAGCGGTGTTGGCATAAGGGAAAACAAAGATGCGCCTCCACGGAGATATATCCTCCTGGAACAGTGGAACAGATGCTTCCCTGGGAGCTGACAGCACCCTGGAGGTCTCCCTGGTCACAGCCTCAGTACCCTTCTTCTCTCAGTGGCAGGGCCAGCTCGCCAACAGGTGCGCTAAAGAATTCCTTTGGACTTTCTTCTTTTGGCACCTTTTCACTTTGATTTTGCACTCCACAGAGCTGCCAAAGGTTAGCAAGGGGCCTACAAGAACCTCCTTCCACACTTAACCCAAGCAGTTTAAAGCTTCGGCGAATCCTAACCACTCCTTGGTTTGCAGTCGCTAATTAACTATTGCGACACCTCGCAGCACAGCCGTACAGGAGCTCTCCGGCTCGGGCCCGCCCGTCGCGCACTGCAGTGCCTCCAGCCCACCGCCCCTGCTCCCACCCCGCCCATGACAGCCCGCCGCAGCCGCGCCCGAGCCCAGCCCAGCCCCAGGCCGCAGCACGGAGTGGGCCGTCAGCAGACAAGCATAGAGGGCTGCGGAGCCCCAGGCGAGCCGTCAAGGCACCAGGTACTGCATGATGGCGAAGGGAGGAGCCCCGCACCACAGAGCGGCTCCGAGGAGCCGGCAGCCAGCAGCGGATGGAAGCGCTCAGAGGCACCCCGATAGAAAAGGGACCTTTCTCACAAAAAAAAAAACTAAAAAAAACCAAAAAAAACCCCACCACGTTAAAGAGCAATAACAAACGACTAGCCCCAGCCCAGTCAGAAACCCGGCCCGCAGAGAACACCGCACCGGAGGACAGAAGGACAAAGGCACAGCCGCGGCCCCGCCCGCCGCAGGCCGGGCTACGTAGCGTTACCTGCTAACACCGCGCTTCGCCGCTCAGTACACTGAGGGGCCGGGCCCTGCGCGGAGCACTTTATGGGGCCGCGCCCCCGCCCCCCGCCGGCCCCTCCTGAGCCCTCCTTCTCGCCGACCGGCGCCTTCCCCGCCCTCTCGCAGTGAGTGGCGGCGCGACGAGGCGGAGAAAGGGGGGGTGCCGAGGCCCGGGCGCTCCGGGGGCGGGAAACGCGCGTCGCTCGGACCGGGGGGCGCCCCGCGCTGAGGGGAGCGGCGGGCGCAGCAGCTGGGAGCGGGGAGGAGCACCGTGAGAACGCACCCGCCCTATCGCGCTGCGGGCGGCGGTCCCGAGTACACCCGCGGGGCGGTTCCCGCTAGGAGGCCGCCCCGCCCAACGGCCGCCGGCGGCGGGTGGATGAGCGCGGGGCCTCGATTAGCGACGCCTCGGTGCGGTCGGCGGGCGATTGTACGTGGCTGCGGGCGGGCGGGGCGGGGAGAGGCGGTGCCCGCAGCCGCGGCCTGCGCCCGGCCCGGTACCCGCGGGCGGCAGGTGAGGGTCGCGCGGTTTCGCGCGGTATCTGGGCCGCTGTTGGCGCGTGAGGCCCCTCGGCGAGATCCCGCGCTTCGCTTCTGAGCGCCGTGTCCTAACGCGCGTGGCCCCGGGGGCTGCCTCGGCGCCGGCAGGTTCCCTCCCTGTCCCGCGCCCCTGCTGGCGCTCTGCCGGCGGGCAGCGCGTGGTTGCTGGCGGCGTCGCAGCTGAAACGGCCTTCAGCGTGTTCGCCGCCGCCTCTCTGTGCAGAGCCGCGCGCGTCTCTGCTTTGTGCCGCCGCCCGGTCCGTGCCTCCCGCCGCGCGGAGCCGGGTGCCCGCGGGGTCACCGCTGAGGATCGCGCTCCTCCCGCCGGCTTTAGGAGGCTGCTACTGCCGCCGTAGAAGCAAGCAGGTTGTTTTGCTTCTCTTTTTCTCGAAGGTGAAGTTTATTTTCCAGACCCGTGTATGTGTTACGTGCGTCTACCAGAACTCGCTTGTTCTCCTGCCCTGCCAGGCCGCAGCCGACTGCTGTGAGGTGAATTGGGCGGCCGTGGGACTGCCGTTTGGTTCTGTAAGGGTGCTTTGATTTGGTGCTGTGGGGAGGAGCACAGGCACCTCCTGCGTGCACTGCTCAGAATGGAAATTAGCATTTGGAGTCATATGAGTGACTTAGATATATTTTCTGTTGTGTGTTTGTTGTGGGAGCAGCCATGCATGTAGTCCAGCCTGTTAGCATGCCCGGTGTCGTGCAGAAACAATGGGGGTTGTTAGTGGGAGTTTTGGAAACTTATATGAAAGTGTTCCAGACATCAAAATGGGTATATGCTGTAGGAAACAGCTGTGGGAACTGTGACTTCTGGAAGGAGCACTCATCGGCTGCCAAGCAGGAAATCGGCTGTTAAACGGTTTTGATCCTGGGCAGAGATAAAGGGGGTCAGCTGGTCACATCAGCTCCCTGTGTTGTGGCTGTCAGATGTTTCCCCAAGTCTTGCTTAAGCAAAGATGAGGGAAGTAAGTAACTTAGCTTGTACGAATAGCGTTACCAGAGTGGAAGATTTCAGGGGTCTGTTGGATGGATGAAAGCTTTGATATACAGCAAGTGGGGTCAAGAAGTATGACTTTTCTAACACAGCTCCCCCCCTTTCCTTCTACTCTTCAAAACAAGGAAGTTTGCAGGTATTAGATATGGCAGCAAATAGAACACAGCTTGGGTTGTTGTGCATGCGATTCTGCATTGTACCGCAAAGGGAAGGAAATTGTGTGCCACCAAACAGTCTTTCCATCCTGCTTTCATGTACATTTCATTGTATTTCCCATTCTGAAGTTAACCTGGCCAGAAAAAGAAATGTATCTCATGCTTGCTGAGGTATACCAGTTTAGTCGTTATGAGGGCTGCAGATGTCGCAGTGTTAATGCTTTCTCTTTTTTTTGTCTGAAGTTGAAACTTCTCTGCATGCGTTTGAGACTGCATTTGAAAAACTCAAATGAGTCAAATCCCATAAAGCGATAACCAGAACGTGTTGTCAGGCTCTGTGGATGTTTACTTTCTTAATCTTGTTGCTGAGTCTTTAGCTAGCAGCTTTGAATTGCTACCTCTTGTGGTGCTGCTGTCTTGTCACTGACCAGAGAGGGGACTTGGACCCCTAATCCTGGCCCTCTGACCTGTGCTAACAGCAGCGTATATGGTAGGAGGTGTTGAACATTTCCCTCAGCATTTGAGTCACCTCTTTTTTGGTTGACTAAAGAGATCTGCTTCACCACCTTGTGTATAATGTGTGAACTCTTTTCAGGGTACGTGAAATGGCAGCAGATGACAAGCGGTCTCCAACACTGGATTCTACCAGTGATCTACCTCGTTCTCCTAGCAGTCCATCTCATCTCACTCACTTCAAACCCCTGACTCCTGACCAGGATGAGCCTCCTTTTAAATCAGCCTACAGCTCTTTTGTAAATCTCTTCCGTTTCAGCAAGGGTAAGTGCTTGGGAGAACATGTTTACCTGTGTCTTGTGCTGTCTGTTTTATTAAAGGTCTCTCCTGCCACATAAACCCGTGGAAACACCTCTGAACATAAGAGTACAATGTATGACCCCAGTGGATGGTGAGTCAGTCTTTTGTACGGGATGTTACATCTTGCTCTTGGTTGACATTGTAGAGCTTTGCCGTGGGAGAAGATAGCCAACATCTTGCACCTGAGCTCTGTGGCTGCCTGTGAAGGTCAGAGACAAGCCAGTCAGCAGACAAAAATGCACAAAGCTTCTTATCTGGCTGTCTGAGTGTCCCTTGCCTGTATTAAGTTTTCAGGGCCAAAAACAGCGGTAACCATTTGCCAGCTTATGTAAGTGAAATATCTGCTTGCCTTTCCAAAGCAATTTCTTATTCCAGACTTCTTCCGCTCCTCATCTGCCTCCATACCTTTGTTTGGGTGGCAGGCAGTGGAGCTGCAAAGAAGCACTGTATTTATAGGAAGTCCATTCTTAACTTGTCTGACTTAGGTGCTCTTCATCAAGCGTTGTGAAGGTTTTGTATATTAGAATGTTGTAGTTGATGCTGGCCTTTGTGCTGTGTCTATAGGAAACATTTATTGTTAGGCAAGCTCTTAGAGACCTGTGTGAGTTCCTGGTTTTGGTTTCTGGAAGAATCTTGCATAGAATAGTGGAAGAATGCACCTGAGTGCATCCTGCAAAACCTACCTTTGTCTTTGCTGGAGATGGCAGCCCAGTCAGCTGCTTTTGTTTTATCTGTTCATTTTCCAGGTCTGTGAAGCATACTTTCTGAGGAAAGGGAGCCAAGATAGGTTTTTGCATAAGCAAGCTGATCTGTTCAGTTTTCTTAGGCAGGATGAAAAATAATTGCTTGATATGACTGCTGTTAGTTTGTACAGTAGAATATCACCTGTCCTAATTAATTTATTGAAAGGAACAGAGATTTGGTCAATATTGGTTTAGTTTGTTTGGCTCTGGCAAATGTAGCTGGAGTCAGCAAAGTACTGTTTTGAAAAAATGTCTGTGAAACAGCAGACAAGATGGGCGTGTTACTGGAATCATTGAGAACCTGTCTATGCTTGATCCTCTGACGGAGAAGGGTGGTTTATTACAGACTGTTCTAACTTTAAAGGGACCACAGTACTGGCTGCTAACATAACTGAAAATCTCCTCTGAGGGCAGAAGCTGATAATAAAGGGTAGCTATTCCATGTCAGAAATAGTTCCTGCTTGCTGTTTTTTTTAAAACACTTTTCACATTGGGGGTGTTTCTAAACTGATGTTTTTATGGCACTTTTCAGACTAAAAAATCATGTTTTGTTATGTATAATAATGATCCAAATGAGTGTTTTGCATATTCTGTCGATTTTCTCCGTTGTATCTGAATAGTTGTTTTTTTGCTTTTTGTCAACTCCAGATGATGGCAGGCTTTCATCCCCAGCGGAGAGAGCAGAAGCAGCACAGGCTGATTCACAGGCACTGAGCAGCAGCTGGTCCAGTCCTCAGCATCCCCCCAGGGCTCAGTCTCTGAGGTCACCAGTTACGTACAAAAAACAACTAACTGGTGAGCTGCAAAGACGATCTTCCTCAACCCTAGGTAATTGCATCTCTTTATGCTACATGGGAATTGTACCAGCCAGTCTGAGTTGCTTTGGAATGAGGTGAAAGGAGGCGAACAGGGGGTTCGTTGCATTGTTATTCCAAGTACTTTTCAGAAAATTAATATGTATTCTTGGGTTTGGGTGAAAGTATGCTTAGAAATAAGAGTTCCATCAGGAAGGAAATAAAACAAGACCAAACTGAACTTGCTGACTTCTTGAAGAAATTTCTGCGATACGTGGTGCTGAGTGGCCTGACTCAGGATAGGCCATCTTCTGCATCTGCTCCTAACCTTGGTGCTGTAACAAACATGAGCTATGTAATTCAAGTAAAAGCCTACAGGTTGGGTGGAGAGGCTTTGCAGGGCTTTTTCAGGTCCACGTTGCTGTATTTGAGGATGGAAAAATCTTTGCCTTTTCCCTCCCCTCAAATCAGGCTTTACTTTTTTTTGTAGAGACAAGCTTTAGTAAGTCAATTCTCATGCTTTATTGTCTTAAGAGGTACTGAATGTACAGATCTTTGAGGTTTTCCAAATATGGAGCAGAAGAGAATTTAACTTCTGCCATTGCAGCTAATGCTGGATTGAAGAAAAAAAATCTTATGAATTGTTCTCCTAACTAAAAAGAATCGTGAACTTATTTGTAACTCTTACTGCAGGTATTATTACTTGCTCAGACACCCAAGTATGAAAGTAAGTGATGTGATTTACACAAACGCCTTGATTTGTAGTTCAGTTCACCTACTTTGCTCAGTGTCAATGAGGTGTCGGATCTAGCTGGGTTTTCTTGTAGCATTGTATCTGCAAGTTTTGAGTGTTTTTTTAGCCCTGGCCTCTATTCTGAAGAGAATCTTCTAAACAGCAGGGATGAGCATAAGCGGGGGAACGGTTAAGTCCTTCTCCAGCGTCTCCCTAGTCTACTTGAGTTTAAATATTATGCCAACTTTAAGCAAACTGAAGTGAGTAAATAAATAAAAGACTTGGAGCAAGGCAGCTGGTGGCTCTAAATAGTGATGGAATGGAATTGCTTCTGATGATGCTGACTCCTACCCTTCGTTTATCCATTAGCTTGCACTGTCCGCACGGGAGATATTTTTGTTCTCAGGAGCTGTGCTGTCTGGCAACGGCAAGTTCAAGACAAGAAGGAATGGTGGCTTTTGTAGGAAAGTGTCTAGTATCAAATGTGTGGGATTGCAGTTGTGTTTCCTTCAGGACTGCTACATCAAAACATTATTTTGGCATGTAATGGCATTTGTGAAAATAGGAGGAAATGCTGGTTATCAGGTTTAGGTCAAAGATACGCAGTGGTATCATGAGGGTCTGCGCTGACTTGTGGCTTCCCTCTAGGGCACAGATGTGCAACCTTTTGGCTTGTCTGGGGTGCATATAGTGAACAGAAATCATCTTGGGCCACATATACCTAAGTTGCTCCAAAAGTAACGCCTCCTTTTTATTTTCATGGAGATGACAATGTATACAAAGAGCACGATAATACTGTTTGATAGTGCAAATTTCCAGCTACCAAACGCTGTTTTTTTCAACATAGCTACCACCATTAGCTATGCATTTTCACTAGTAATGAACAAGAGCCTGCCTGACGTGCTTATAAATCTGCACCAGCAAAGGTGACCCACTGTCACCACTACTGAAGCACACCACCCACTGCATCTCTATGCTCATATTCACTGTTTGGTCTCCATAAATGTTCACAAACATCAATGAATGTCAGTGGGTGGCATTTTTTCTCATGGAAGATTTCAGAGACATCCTTTTCTTCATGTGCACTTCCATGTGAGGCACCATTTGGTCAGGCTGTGCCCCTCTGCTGGTGTCTGTCACGCAGCAACAAAGTGCAGTGGAGTATTGATGAGAAGGTTCAACTTCTACTGCCATACCACTAGCATTCACCCCTAATGTTGTAGACCAACGTAATAAAATAGGAGTCACTGCTTTCAGAGCAGCCTTCACAAAATATACGGTATTGTTAATATAGAAGTAATGAAACATTTCAATCTAAAATAATTTTCTTAAACCGTTAAACAAAGAAGAGAGAAACAAACCCATAAAAACTATTGGGATATTTGGCCTTATTTCTGTGAAACTTACGCGCCAGTCGGGTTCAGTAGCAGTGGTTGCAATTCTTAGTGAGGTCTCAAGGTTCAGGGATTTTTGGTGAAATTTTTCTCTTCCTGTACTTCATGATTGACAATAATTGTTCAAAATGTGTGTAATTCCAAAAAGCAATGGCATGAGTAAGGTGTGATTGTGAAGCAAAAGGTATTTTTCTCTGCTGAGATGGGAGTTATCAAAGTTATCAGATTTTTGACTTGATTGGACATGCAGTAACGTGCTGCACCCTTTACTGGCAGTTCAGTTGAAGAAATTGAACTGCTGTCACTGAAACAAAGCTGGCCATACTGGAGTGTGTGTGTGTGTGTGTGTGTGTGTGTGTACTACATGTGTGTGCTGCCAGCTGAGTGCTTTCAAAGTGTTTGATTGAACCTAAGTAGTCTGGTACTGAGATGATGTCGCTGCTATCAAATCCAGTTTAAGGAGAATTAGATGCACTTTAGATGACCAAGTGGAGAGGGAGCATTGGTAGTAAAAGTGATTCTAACTTGTTACCCGAGCAGCACAACACGCTGTTGGTGCTACAAGATTGTAGCAGACTGACAGTAACAAGGAAGGCAGAGGAGCCTTCCTCTGGGGACAGCAATCATATGAGAAGGAAGAAGGCCTAAGGAAATTATGTGGTGGCTATTGGGAAGCATGAAGAGCATGACCTATTATCAGAGCATCTTTTTCCTTGAAAAAGGCTTTGGAGAATGACGTGCTTTGCATCTTCCTCAAGTCACTAGAGTAGAGGTGTTCAAGCTGTTACAGTGATCTTGAATGTGAAACTGTGTGTTTTGGCCAGGAAAACTAGAAAGCAGTTCATGTTGTATTACCAAAACTGTGGTGTTCTTGGTAGGTGTATGGGAACTGCTGAGCCACGGCCTGAACCTCTGATTGATCACCTGAGGCGAGCCATGAGTCAGCCAGAGGAGCACAGGGGAAGGCAATTCACCTGCGCTGCTGGAAGGGGTGGAGCCTGGCTCCCCCCCCCTCCTAGACCCATTTAAGAGCTGGCTACCAGTGGGGAAGGATTTCTTCTGGAGATCTGCTCTGCTGGTGTTTTGTGAGTGAGCCTAGGATAGGGGTAAACCTTCTATTTATTCTCTTTTGTTATCATAGTCTGCTTTGCCTAACTCTTGTTTGTTTTGTGATTATAACATCCTAACATTCTTTGATTATACAGTAGGGTTCTTTGTTTATTGTTGAAACTGTGAAGTTCTACATCCGATGTTAGTGTTTGGTCAGTTCAGCAAATCTCTGTGAATTGAGCTTAGGAGAACATGTGAGCTTAGTTGGTGGTTATAGCTGGAATAGTATTCTATATTTCTAGTGATCACAGTCCAGATTCAGATCACAAATCAGTAAGATGAGGCAGAAAGCATTGTATTTCAGAGGATGTGTAGATTTTGCTGCTGTGAATACATGTAGGAAGGATGAGGGTTGCTGTTGAAATGTGAGATTTTTTTTTTTTTTTTGTCTCATGGAGTTAATTTTTAACTTACGGAGGACAAATAGCTTAGAAATAAGTCAAATTGGAAGTCAGCATGGGGTTCATTTGGCATACAGAGTCTGTGTTCAGGGGCCGTGTGGATGGGAAAGAAACAGAAAGAAAACGCAGTTGCTGCTGCATAAGTTTGTACTGGTAAAAAGACTTCAATGTTTGTGGAAGTGAAGGTGATCTAATGATGTATCTACTGCTGATGGCACGTTTTTTGTAATGTAGATGACAACCTTTTGACATTGCTTTGCATAATACAGAAAACAGCCTTTAAGTAACAAGAGGCCCAGAGGGGGTTAATATGTGATGTTTCCTTAGCATAGCGTATGTTCATAATTTAGTAATCACTTACCTTATAGGGTTTGTGGTTAATTGGGCAGGAGACCTCTTAATAATTTCCTGAAAAAGTCACTTAAATCATCCTAGAAAAACTTAGTTCTGTTAGAAAGCAGCTTTTAAATAAATTGCAAGTGGCCACTGGATTTAAGTACTCAGGTCTCGTTAAAGTGATCCATTATGTATTCTGTGTTGTACAGAGGTCATGACATGCACATACAATTAACTTAATTAGCTAAAAATATCTACTGAGAACCTGAAGAGAAAGCATGGAATCTTGCAGTTTTAATCACATTACTCTAAGGGTTTTGATCTCCTGCACGCAGAGGCACAGCTGAGTTCTCACTGCAGTGCAACAGTTAACAGCCTTCTGCTGGTGCTGTCAGAATTCCTGCTGACATCAGTGGTCTCTAAAGCTGTAAACAAAAAGCAGCCATCTCTGTTTTTCCTGTACTGAGGGAATCAGATTAAAATGCTAGTCAGATGGAGAGCAGCGAAGCTGGTAAGAAACTTTAAACTATTCCAAAAAAAATCTTTTTGTAGAAAGGTGACTCTGACATCTTGGTTAAATACTGTCTGCAAATAGTGCTTAACCAACACTATCTGCAGATCCTTTTTGGAGAGAAAGACCCGGATTGTAACTAGTACAGTAACAAATTCAAAGCAGTCTAGCATTTTACAGGGAAGAAATAAACTGTATTACATTCTCATTCAGTAGTCTCTTTACTGTACTTAAATAAGAATGCCTGTACAAGTTCTCAGCAGCTTGACTTTTTTTTTTTTTTGTAGAGTATGTAACTTCTGAACAAATTTTATTGTGAGTTACTGAATGTAATAGAAACTGAGTTACGGAGTTCTTAGACTTGTTGCAGTCATTTGTAAGTAAGCTAAGCTTAAGCCATTGACTCATATCAGTCCTAGAAGGAAGGTAACAATTTTTGCAATTATTTTGTGAGTATTTATATCCTAGAAGGCATTCTAAAGCAAGGCTTCGCAGTTTTCTAAAATGATATTACAAGGTTAATATAGTGAACTGAAAATTATTTCTGTAAAAGATGTTGTAGTTCTCAGAATTTAAATGGGTTTTTGTAAACACTTAGAAAATATCACTTAAAATGCCAAAGTAAGCTGTCAGACATCAAAAGCTCATTTTGGAGGAGAGGAGCGTAAGGGTAAGAAATGATGCACACTGTAACTTTGTGAAGTGCCTATTCATGCAAACATTTCTCTCTCCAGTAGGGCTTCGTGTTGCTGTGTAAATGTGGTGGTACCATGGAGTAATTGTTATTACTCTGCCTTCCTTTGCAGACAATCGAAGGAAAGTGGAACCTCCTCTGGGAGGTCATGATCCTCGAACAGCAGTTCAGTTAAGAAGCCTCAGCACTGTCTTAAAACGCCTCAAAGAAATCATGGAAGGGAAGAGCCAGGTACTTTTGAGGGGTTTGTATGGCAAAGCATCTAGAAACTGGGCTGTGTACCGAGCTCCTTGATCTTCATTTTTTTTTTATGTATCGTGAAGATTTTTTCAGATGTTCGATAGATGAGCGAATGAACTCAGAACTCATTGTGTGAGTGCATGGGAAATCATTTAAATTGATGACAGAGGTCATGTCAGAGGTCTGTAATGGTTGTTCATTTTGTTGAGCCTAAACTAGATGTTCTCATTTATCACTGCTTCCCATTTCTGTGTTACCTTATCTAGTATTACCTGGTTATTTTCTTCCTTGAAGGCACTCCTTGGGGAGGAGAAACACATTGCCTGTGAGAAAGAGTACAAGGGATTTCTAGGGATGAATTAAATCTGTTTACTGTGGTAATGACTGTTCAGCAACATTTACTTGAAAGTCTTGTTCTGTTAACCATTTTGATTCAACTGACTGGTGGCTGCTATTAATGTGCTGCTTTTGCTTCCCTCTGCTGTTTTGGATGAGGCCTTTAATGGGAGGATCTAGTCAGGAGAAGAAACCACAACTATTTATAAGTCATGATATAAATAGCTGTGTCTGAGAACACAAGGCATGAACAGGCAGAAGTATATTTAATTCAGTTAAATTGGAAAAAGGCTTTTGTCTCTGTAGCTTTTGCAGGCTGTCTTTGAGTAAACTCACTTAAGTTTGTTAAAGAAACTGTGCTTTGACAAAGAGTGATGTTTTTGGGAGTGAAACTCAGGCCTTTCATTGCAGTTAGCAGGACACTGAGTACGGCCCTTACTTATTTTGTAACTTTTGGCATATTCTGAAGGCCTTGGAAATGTTATCATTGAGGTGATTGGGAAATTAGTATTCAAACAGGCAGGGTGCAGAAGTAAGCAAGTCTAGATTTTTCTCTGGAAGTGGTCTTTCAGTTGTCAGCAAACATGATGTGTGTAGACACAATGGTGCCTTGCTGCCCCTGCCTGCAAACTCGTCTTGCTTGAGTCACTTCAGGTAAGTTTCTTTCCACTATGGAGTTAGTTCTAGAGGAGACCACATTACTCGTAGAAGGCACATGTTACATCCTGGAAGGTACTGCTCAGAGTAATAGGTTTCTGTTCTGAATCCTGCCTTGTAGGTTGTTCTTGCTATGAGTGTTGGCTTCAAGCTGAGCAAGGCAAAGAGCTTAGAAGATGTTTCTAGTTTCCTTCCTCCATACTTCTCCCAAAATACAGAGAAATCAGCAATGATTGAGTTTCTCAACACCCAGCCATAAGTAAATGTGACAGAAGCTATGTGGTTGAGGTCATGGATAGGGGTGCTGGAGGCTGTGCATGTGGATAGAATGTTCTGTGGCTAGAATAGCTGTCCACAGGGTAGAACCAGAGACTTTGTTCATCCTACAGAACCACAGCGAAAACTGTTAATCGGCATCCTCTGCAGCTTTGCAGCAGGTCCTTGGCAAAGCTCTTTCTTATAATTTTCTCTGCTTAAAGTTTATTTGTGTTAAAGTTTTCTAGACTATCTTGAACAGTTTTTGGCCTCTTTCTGTTCATGATCTCTTGGATAAATACATCATGAAATTTTGGTCTTTTTGGCCTCGAAATTGTTTTAGCAGCTGTGTTAAACTTAACTTTGTGAACATCCAAAAATAAATGAGAATTCAGGATATACCTTTTCCTTATGTGAAAACTGGAGTAAGATCAGCTTTCTTTTCTGTGCTTATTCTTGGCTTAAGAAAATTCATGCTGTTCTTTTTCTTCGTAAGAAAAATCCCATGTATTCAGTTCCTCTAAAAGGGCTCATTGCCAGAATTGAACTCTAGCAAAGAATGATTCACAGTCAGAGCTGTCACGTGACCATTAGCAGTTGTCCCCATCCATGGTGACTGTAGCTGATGTGCTCAGAATTATAATTGATAGATTTCTCTTACTTTGTTTATAGCTACATCAGCACATGGAGGTTTCACTTCTTTGTTTTCAAACCTTAAAATTCAAGACCAAACTGTGGCTGCACCCATGCTGTGTAATCAGTATATGACATTATCTGCTGAATGTGTATTCTGCAGTTATCTTCACATAGCAGTTAATGTGGAGTTTTTAAGCTACATCAGTCTTGGAGTTAGGTTTTACAACTGTTTGCTGAACAATGAAGAATTTGGCAATAAAACTTTATAGTTTTGTCCTTTGTTTTCTGAAAACATCTTAGTGTTAGCTATTGAAATGATCTCGTATTGCAAATTCCTGATAGCTTAATTTACCTCTGAAAAACTGAACCTCAGCTGATACTAAGCTGTGTTGGTTGAAGACCTGCTGTGCAAGGAGCAAGTGAAAAGGGAGAAGCAGTCAATGCTTTGATTGTTGCTTCTTGTCTGTTATGTGTAGCTCATGGTTTTTGTTTTGTTTTTTTCATCTTCTGGTTTCCATCTGCATTGAATCAAGAAGGCAAATCATTTTTGAATTTAATCTCACAGTTAAGAACTGTCTTGGTCTTCTGGCTTTCTATAAAACTGTGTGAAAAATAACTTCTGTGCATGTGTGTGTTTATACCCAGTCTGTGCATGCACAAAGGTGGAAAAGTGATATTATCCTTTAATGTGCACAGCTTACAAAGCAATCATTAATCTAAACATGCTTTTTTATTTACAAAAAAAAGTTTTGTGTTGCCTTGCTTTGTAGGACAGTGACTTGAAGCAGTACTGGATGCCTGACAGCCAGTGCAAAGAGTGCTATGACTGTAGTGAGAAATTCACCACCTTCCGTCGGAGGCACCACTGTCGGCTTTGTGGGCAGATCTTCTGTAGTAGATGCTGCAATCAAGAAATCCCTGGGAAATTCATGGGCTACACAGGTAGCTAGGATTTATTCACTGAGAAGTAGAACATTCTCTGTGTGCTCTGCTGTTTGTACTATTGCGTTTCAGATTCTGAAACCTCCTAGATAATGCTGTACAGGTCTCTAACAAGCTCAGAAGTAATTTTCAGGGATGACAGCACCCAATTCTACCTTTTCTTGCATGTGGTGTTGGATTATGCCATATCTGCTTATTTGTACCAACACTGTGATGACAAAACAAGTGTGGTCACTATGTAATTAGGATATTCAGTTCAGAAAGTGGGCCATGTGTTCTAAATGGAGGGAAAGGGAAACTCTCTCAAATGCTAATTGACAAACTGTAGATGTCTCCTGATGGAAAATTCCTAATTCCAGACCTTGATTCATATGGTCGCATCTTACTAGCAATTATTGTACCTCGTTCTCTTACTCTCCTAACTAATCTGTCACTAACTGATCATGTGTTAGGCATCATTTGACTTGGAGAATTTCCTTTGGTGTATAATTATCTGGGGTTTTGCTCGTAACGGAATAAGAGAACTAGACTTTAACATGCACAGATGTTTTGAAACAGGAAATCCTCCTTTTTCTCACCACTGCACACCTAATCCTAAAGGAGCAGCATACTCTTTGTTCCTGTTCACTTAGATGTCTGCTTCCTCTATTTGTAGGGGATCTCCGAGCCTGTACTTACTGCCGCAAAATAGCCTTAAGCTATGCACACTCCACAGATAGCAATTCCATTGGAGAAGATTTAAATGCTCTGTCAGATTCTGCGTGTTCAGTGTCAGTGTTGGATCCTGGTGAGCCTCGCACTCCAGTTGGGAGCCGTAAAGCTAGCCGCAACATCTTTCTGGAGGAGGATCTAACCTGGCAAAGGTAAGGTGAAGGGCTTTTTGTTGAGTTCTAGAGTCTTAAATGAGTTTTCAGGCTGTCATGTGCTGGGACAAAAGCTGCTAGTTTAGGAGCATGTAGAATTAGAACAGGATTTTAATCCTGTGCTTGGTTTTCACATTCTTCTCATCAAATTGAAATATGGAAACTTTTCTAGTGAAGTTTTAAATTATTTGATATTATGTGATTTCTGTATGTGAAGTAGTTTTCATCAGAAGAAAAGCTGGGAATTCAATCTCTTCCCAAAATACTGTATATAGAATAAGGCCATCTCCTCCTGTCATGTGCAGCAAAGAAGTGAGAAAAGTATTTAGGAGGGTGCTGCTGTATTTGTCTGGTACTCTAATCTTTGAACAGCCTGAACACGAAAGCATGCCTTCCTACTTCAACTAACTTGAATTATCATTTCTTTTAAAAGTTAAGGAGTAGAGTATTGTGGGCAAGTACAGCAACTCAGACAAAGTGATATTGTATACGTTTTCTCAATAAGACTGTTTATTGTGTTGGTAACATATCTACATTTCAGAGCACAACCAGTACAGTTGATGTAGGTGAGAGTGCAGTGACTTGTATCTCATTGATCTGCAAGTAGGAATTCATGTTTTAGGTGTTTGTACGTTTGCTCTCCTTCCTTCTGGACTGAAGAGAAACACGGCAAAGGTGACAGTGTAAAACAACTACAGAAGCTTTTTTGGCATCTTGATATGAGCTTTTTAGTAGTAGATACAGATATCATTGTTTGTATTGCAAAGATGGTGTGTTGGAGATAGTGCTTTGCAGGTAGAGGCATTGCCCCTGAATAGCAAGAAATAAAAACAGGAGAAACCTATATGAAAGGGATATAGGGAAACAGGACATACTGATGTAAGAGGTGGAGGTTGAGCAGAACATAAGCCTGAGAGTAGAACTCTCAGGTGTTGTCCCCCTGATTTCACTGGCCTACAAGTGGGGAAGGATTTCCCTATTATCTCACTGATTTAACTATAGTGGATGTGAAGGTAACATTATGATGAACTGTACTTGAATTGGAACTGTTCTGATGTTACTGCATGTGCCAGGTCTCTCAAACATCTGTAACAAACCCCTTTCTCCTACAGTTTGATTCACCCAGACTCTTCAACTACAACGCTGTCTGCACGCCTTGGGTCTGTCCAGGAGGATGCAGGGAAGTCTCCAGCTAGGAATAGGTAAACTAATCATATCTGCATATTTCCTGTTCTGGATGCACTCATTGCATGCTCTTCACTGTAAAGCCTATATTTTGCATTTTGTTTTTACTGAGCATGCTATTTCATTTCTAAAATGAGACTCTTTGGGCTAAAAGACCACTTAGAACATTTATTAGCAGGAATATGTACCTACTTTGAGGAACCTGTAGTTTGCTACTAATTCAAATGGAGATGATGGTAAAGAGGAAATAGAAGAAAGGAAATGGCTAAAAAAGGGAGAGATCCAAGGCAGCTGAACAAAAGGGAGTAGCACAGAGATGTAGTACTGGGAGGCAAGTCTGAGGTCGAGAAGGGGCAGAGATGTGTGGTTTTTTCCCTGTTGCTTTTGTTTTCTATTGTTTCCCACCCCCCAGTCCCTGTGCTGATCCACTAAATATGATCTTGTTAAAGTTACCTGGTTTTCTTAGGCCAAAGGCTCATCATAGGTCTTTATACAGCACAATTCTGGAATGAATTTGGAATGTTTATGAGAGCTTTTGTGTAACTTGTGAATGCTTGAGCTTAATCCTTTTAAATAGTCTGGTATGAGAAGAACAAGTAATTTCTACTTCACAGTGCTTCTGCTATGTTTCTAGTTAAATACTTTAATTGTGGTTAAATTGGGGAAATAAAGATGAGGCAAAGATACGAGGAGCAGAGGAAAGACAATCCAAATTTCAGTGTTGGAGCCAGGAGACATTCAACAACTTGTTTGCATTGGTGTTCCATGAATACAGAATGTGAAGTGGTTTGGAAGTTCTGGCAGGGACAGCAAAGACTTGAGGACTCAGCTCGGGAGGATGCCGGGTGTGCCTTTCAGGGAATGGACTACTTCACATGTGATGGGGACAGTTAAGGGGATGTGAACACCGACTGTACCTCTGAGGAGTGAAGATCTCACCTAGAAGGAACAAAATTTGGTGAATAAGCTAGTGCCAGATGTCAGTTCTGGGCAAACGTGACAAGGAGTCCAGAGTTAAGTTCAGTGGTAATTATCTGCAGTGATGTCAAGAGACCTTGAGGATGTTGTTCTGCTTCTTGTGTGAGTTGACATTGTGTACTTAAGAAGTTTTTGGTGTTTGTTCACACATGCAGTGGGAGGAAGATTCTAAGCTGGCTCTGACAGGGCCAAACTGTTAGTTCAAGGTAACTTGCTCTGCCTTTTCATGACCTCACTGTGGTATTTAGCCCTCTGGGCTCACATTTGAGGAGTAATGATCAGATATAACTCACTCCTGCCAAAACTCTGAACATGTAGAAACTAAGTTGTGAGGTTTTTATTTAAAGAGTTTCTGTCGTTTGTAACTGTATTCATAGAATCTCAGGGCTAAGCAATACTAGCTTTTAGATCTTCTCAAAGCAGCTTTAGATATTTGTTTGAGGCAAGACTGACCATACTTCTTTCTAGATGACAGGTACCAAAGAAGGTGCAGGCTGGATGTTTAGTTACCTTCTGTTATCTGTCTGTGAATGAGAGAGATGTGATACTGTTTCTCAAATTAATGGAGGAGGAAGTATGTCAGTTAAATGTTGCAGAGGATTAAAACTTTTCTATGAGTTATTTTAAAGGATAGAAGTTGCCTTTGCAGCATCTCCCTCTGTCTTTAGAGTAGCCAAATACGTTTGAGTTCTGGGTATCATTCATGTTGATCAAGATGTAGATATGAAATGTAGTGTGACTATTCTAGCTCTTACTTAATATAATTTTACATAAATTAAAAATCCCTGCTGCTTACAGATAGGTAGCATGATTAAAGTAGCTCTTGCGAAACAACTTAATTGTGGGCTTTAATGTCAATCTCGTATTCCACGTGAGAATGTCTTCAGTAAAACTGTATTATTCTGCCTGGCTGATTTATCGATTCGAGTTCTTTTCAACTTACAGCATCTGAAGACTGGCAGAGTTTTAACTTGCTTTGAACACCTAGGATAGAAAATGTCTGCTATCATGCCTTAGTGTCTACAGATACGATGCCAAGACACTTTCCTTTTGATTTGCATAAGTGACTAAGATGGACTCCTGCTCAAGAAAAAGAGCAGGAAAAAGTAGTGATTTTGTGCCTTATAGTACCTTCAATTCCTACTTCCTTGCAGTAATTCAGCTTTAGCTTTTTGCACTTGGGACTAGCCACATCATCCTTCGAGAACTCTTGGGAAAAGTCATTGTGACTGTTAATGGAGCTTGCTAATTGGCTATCTGGGATTTGCTCCAAAGAGAAAGAACTGGCAACAGCTCTCGCCACTGAGGCTGCTGCGAGCCTCTTGGATCAGGGCAGCATTGAAATTCTGATCTTCCCTTTGGTTGTGTGCAGAAACTGTCTATGTGCACTCCTTATGGCACTGTTAGCATTCCTAGCTTATACTGCATATATACAGCTGCTGTGAAATGAGAAGAGTTTGTACTCTGTTTATTCAGAGGCTTAATCTAGCTGGGGGGGTATTGGAGCAGAATTATTTGGAAAATGTATTTGCATTTGTGGCTTTGCAATGATTATTGCAAAATGATATATTTGTATTGGAGTAGCCTGGATTTCCTAACAGTTGGGCTGAGATCATGTGAATGGTCTATATCACAATACAAGGGAAAATGGCCAACTGGAGAGACCTCCAAGTCCAGCAGACAGATTAACTTTTAAAATTCTTTCCACTGCAAACTGGGCAACACCAGTGGAAGTGTTTACATTTCAGAGATGTGAAGAGGAGAAATTTTGAATGGTTCAAGGTAGGGAGAATCTCAGTGCCTTGTAACAAGGATCTCCTGGTGTTAACTGCCCTTGCTGGCATCTGTCTTGCCTTCAAAGTGCTGGACCTCTAATTATCCAGCATGTCATGCCTTTCCTACTCTATTCAAACACAGGCATATAAGAGCTGCTGTGTCTGAACTTAGCTTCAGCTGCTTTTTACAAAGGGCTTTACAAAAGTTTTTGTTTCACTTGGATGTTCCACCCCAATGCACTTACTTCCTGGGCATCCTTTCTTTTTCCTTTGACTGGGAGGGAAAATGCGGGCCTTAGTCCGTAAGTCTGTAGTGAGGAGTATGAACAGCATCAAAGACTTAAGTTCTTCCTTAGCATGCCACAAGATCACTGTCTCTTCTGCTGAAGCACTACACAATGAACACTTACAGTTCCATCCTTCTCTCCTGCACTCCAGATCAGCCAGCATCACTAACCTGTCGCTGGATCGGTCGGGTTCGCCGATGGTGCCTTCCTATGAGACATCCGTCAGCCCCCAGGCCAGTCGCACACATATGAAGGCAGAGACCAGCGAGGATGAGCGCAAAATCCTTCTGGTACCTTTCAGGCTTCTGTTTGTCTTCCTCTGTGAGAGCAATGAAGTTTGGCTTCCTCGAGTCATGCAGTGGGAGTATCTTGTTGCCTTTCAAGGATTTTATTTGAGTATTCTTCCCTAGACTGCTCCTCCAGGTGGTGCAGGGATGGAGAATATTGACACTGCTTTGGGCTCTTCTGTCTTCCTGAAATCAGATGTGGCATTTGCATAAATATGTGGTTTTTTTAGTCTCAGGAAATTTTTTACTTTGTGGAGTCAGCGTATGGTAAATCTGTGTGTATTACACTTGCCACAGTTGCAGTTGTAACCAAGTGGTCTGATTCTGTCTTTTTCCAAGTTCAGATTTTCCCCTTCTTCCCCTTCCCCTTCTAGACTACTTAAGAGGGAACTCTAATGGCTATTTCAAAATGTTTCTCTGTTGAATGAGTTAAAGCTGCTGCAGCTTATTGGACTGAAACGTAACTTGACCCCTCCCCTTGTTTGCAGAATAAATGTTAATATTTTTTTGAAAGATTGTGACGTACTTTTTCAAGGAAAAATCAATGTATAACTGAATGTTCTAAGTAGTCCTGTTATCCTCTTCTTGCTGAGTGGAGTGTTGTAGGTAGCAGTTACTGTGTAATGTGAAGTAGAGATAAAAAGTTTCTTTTTGTGATGGAGAGACAGGTTTCCAACAACTGGGGCAAAACCAATTGGAGAAAAAGGATTGCTTTTCATATTCAAAGATTGAAAATTACTTTTCATTGCCATATTTAAAATCAGGAACGTTATCTTTTGTATTGTCAGGTATTTGCCTGATACCAGCAGAGTGCAAGTAAATCAAAACACTAGCTCCTGCTTGGTTGTACAGCTCTGTAAATGGACAGTCATGTGAGAGAGAAGGATTTTTAAGGCATGTCTTTACACTTCCCTGCCCCATGCATGTTAGTGCAGAAACAGTAAAATCTAAAACGCTGTGAATGCAAGATGGGAAAGGATGAAGTCCCAGTGCACTTCAGCTTTATGTTTAATTTTTTGGCCTGTTTTCTTCGTTGAGGAAGAACGGGCTTATTAGTATATCTTCTGTTCACGTAAGTACAGAAGATGCAGTGTCACTGTAGGTTTTGCTGGGAATTTCCACTGGTTGTTTCTTGTTTTTAGTATGTATCTGACTGTATCAGAAGGTAATTGAAACGTTCACGTACTGCATTCAGAAGGCTCATGAGCTTTGCTTATGAAAAAGAATAGGGGAAGATATACATACATGGAGTAAACACATACTTCTCTGAATTAGAGGTAAAAATCCTTGAGTTGAAGAAGTTCACTGTGTTTTGCCAGTTTGTTCAGTTTCCTGAACTTGCCATGTGAGTTAAAGCAAAAAAGGCAGATGAATTGTTGAATTGCCGCTTGCATCAAATCTTATGATCCTGTGGTGTATTCAGAAGCTGACCTATTTGACATTACCTGGTGTGGCAGTGGAGCTGCTGACGTTGATGCTAAGATGAAGCCCAGGGCAGCCAATGCTGAAGGTGATAGCAGAAAAGCAGCCCGGTAACAGAAGCAGAATAAACCTTTCAGATCACAGAGCATCCTTGGGAAGGTGGAATGAGATGAATCTGGCAGTTAACTGGAAAGCTGAAATTGATTAAAAGTTGCATTAAAGCTCTTCTGTTGTTGTTGCACAAAGGTGGAATGAGTGAAGCATTTGAACAAGTGAGCTGCAGTGGCTCTTCTCCATCCCTTGCTGTGTTCTATTGCTCTCAAAATAATACCAGGGTATTTTCCAGATTGTTCCACCTCATCAACAGTAGGTTGTGCTGTGCAGAACCTAGGTGCAGAGCAAAAGGACCTAGGTAGCAAGCTGACATTTGAGTTTGAATGGGGCATAACCAAAGCAAGATTTGACGTGTGTTTAGCAGGCCTTGAAACAAGGCCAGGGCGTAGGCTGAAGTGTTCCAAGTGGTGGGAAAATACTTCAAGCTTCCAAGAGAGTTAACTAAGTTGGGCAGGGGACACAACTTATTTTATTTAGTGGCTGAAGCTAGCAATGTCTAAAGTGTGTGTGTGTGTGTATGTGTGTGTGTGTATATATAGTTTGCTCCATTAAAACCCTAAGCCCCTTAACTCTGAATGCAACTGTCTTGTTTCTTCTTGGTTTCCAACTTTATATAAAGGAAGGTTGTAAGGAGCTGATCCCGTGTTTGTCTGCTGTTTGTTTTGCACCTTCATGTAAGTTTAGCAGAGTGGCTTAGATTTTTGTGCCTGTTTCTAGAGGGTGCTTGATTGAGAGTTTGAGGACCCAGACTGATGCTCTTGAAACAAGTGCTGCTGTCTGACTGTTAAGTAACTTGTGTATCTCCCTGTCCAGGACTCAGTCCAGCTGAAAGATCTGTGGAAGAAAATCTGCCATCACAGTAGTGGGATGGAGTTCCAGGACCATCGCTACTGGCTGCGGACACATCCCAACTGCATTGTGGGAAAAGAGCTGGTGAACTGGCTCATCAGAAATGGACACATAACCACAAGGTAACCCTGATGCTTTAGGGTAACAGGTGTCTTCTGACTCTGGCAGAAGGTTGTGAGGTAATGCGGGGTAACTTCGATTCCAGAGAGAGAGACCCCTTTGCAAGAAAGCAAGAAAGAAGGCTATCAGAATTTTGTTCTTTGCTGCCTGCAAGTATGATTCTGATTCCTCATGGTCCAGAAAAGGGCATGGGCACTCTGGTTCAAGAGCTGGTGTGGGTGGCAGTGTATGGGACAGTTACCAACTCAAATGGGCAGAGAATAGTGATCATATTGCAAAGACTCTCCTAAAACATTTTTTTTTCAGAGCTGTGTGCTCCATTTTGGTAAACAGAATGCAATTTGCAGGGTCACCACGCTACTTGTGTTTTGGATATGTTTGCAAAGGTTCCTGCTTTGCGACATAGAGGTGTGTCTTCCCAGCTTTACAAAGGAGTTTTTGGCCACACGTAGCATTTCCTTGTTGATATGAAGGGAAAAAAATTCATTTCAACCTTTACAAGCCTAGAAGAAAGCAGACTGCTGAGTTCACTGATATTCCAAAGAGGCCCGAGATCACTATTAGTGTTTGGTAGCTAAATTTTTCGTGGAACTGGTTGACTCTTTACACTGTAAATAAGTATAAAGAATCAGAAGTATTTCACTATGCAAGAGGGAGATAAAAACTATGTTTGCTTTCGTATTTACAGAGCCAGTGTCCTTACTTAGCAGAGATTTTCAATGCATGCAACTCAAGCTAAAGATATTGGAGGAGTACAAACAGTGTATGTTGTCCATTGGACATCTCAGTTTTAAAGCTCCGGCGGTCTCTTCATCTAAGTCCATACTTGAATCATTACACCCTGCCCCTCTGCAACATTTTTAAATGTGTAGTTAAGTATGGGCGTGGAATACAGAGGAGTGCAAAGTCATAGCAAACGGCATTTTCCTCTTGTGCCATGTTTGTACCATAAACCATGTGTTTAAAAACAGAAAATGTCTCTGCTCTCATGCTTCCAGGGTTCAAGCCATTGCTATTGGGCAAGCACTAGTTGATGGACGCTGGCTAGATTGTGTCAGTCATCATGATCAGCTCTTCAGAGACGAGTATGCCCTGTACCGACCATTGCAGGTAAAAGGGAGAATCTGACTCGAGGGAGGAGGGGAGTAGGACTGTTATGATTCTTACTGCTATTGACTGCTCACTAGAATATCTTAAAATTATTATCTCTGCAGCCATTGTGTGTTTTCTAAATAAGCTCTCCTGTATAGAGGAGTCTGCACCTTTTTCCTTAGTGGCTAAAAGCTTGAAGAAGGTGCATTTACCCAGAACGCTTTGGAGCTTTGCTTTGTGGAGGATGAATTGCTGCACTTATTGCTGTCTGCAGAAAAGGAAAGGATCTCCAGTTTAGGCCAATACTTCTCATGGTGGGCATTTTCCAGTGGACTTATAATGCCACAGTCAGTGCTGTTGGCAGCTGTGCTGCATATAATGTGCATAGTCTAGTGTCTGTTACGTAGTTACCGGTACTGAGCTTTAAACATTTTCTGAGTATTTTGGATATACTATGTTTGAACATAAGATAACCTCCTGATCTCTGGTGATGGCAGCAATAAGGAATTTAGTACCATAACCATGTGATGCAAGACTGGGAGGGAGTTTCTGTCCAGCTTTCTGGATTGGGCTGGCTAGATGAGAAAGAGTCAGGAAACCACTGACTGGAGATGCTATCCACCGTTTTTCATTGCAATGAAACATGCACTTAGTTGTGAGTCCTCCATGTTCTTCAGCTTCTCGCAAAGGAGAATGGCTCAGCTGTCCCATATACATCAGCTAGCAAGCTTACAGCCATTAGCTTCATGTTTTCATTGTGTGTTTCAGCTCTTGGCCGTGGTATCTCAGTTTGCTAGTAAAGCGTACCCTTACTTAGCAAACAATTGTGGATCTGTTTGTAACTATTTGCAAAGACATTATATTATTCCAGTTTTAAAGCCAGTTCTCATCAGCCGAAAGCTCTATATGATCACTTTTCTTCCAGCTTAAACAAGATTCTGGAGAAACTGTTGGTAACTCAGCTGCTTGTTGCACTTGCTGTAGCCAAAGGAGTGATAATGAGAATTTATACTTGGGGTGAATCTAGACAAAAGAATGGCTAGTTGTAATTGCTTAGATTCTCTCTGGGTTACTTGGCACTATATCCAGGCTTTGTTTTGGCTCAGTAGCTCCAGGCAGGGCCTGACTTGTGAGTGAAGCTTTGAGTTTCTCTTTTTGGTCAGCCACAGAGTTGCTCCAGTGGTTTAGACTATGTCTACACCAAAAGCTGCCTGAATCTGAGCACAGAATACGGCCATCATCCACTTCCGCTGGAGATAACAAGTGTTTAAAACTGCTTCCCTGGGTATGGTTACAGAAAATGTGCAGCGGAATGAACCTGTCACTTAGCCACAACTTGTACGGAAGTGTGGAGGAAGAAGAAACTAGGCACTATGAGAAGTGAAAAGAAATGCTTGTTTCTTGTTCCAGACAGTTCCTATTTTGTGCTGGGGGAGTGGTTTTTATGACTAATTCATCTCAGGCCACTGAGAGTATCCTCTGAATTTTAAAATGTCTGATTTGTGTTTGTGACGGGCTGCTTTCTAATGAGTATGCTTAATGAATATGCTGGGATCAGCAAAGCTGCATTTTAACGCCCTTTTTTCTTGCCTACTAGAGCACAGAGTTTTCGGAAACCCCCTCTCCAGACAGTGACTCTGTGAACTCTGTAGAGGGGCACTCAGAGCCATCCTGGTTCAAAGACATCAAATTTGATGACAGTGACACAGAGCAGATTGCTGATGAAGGAGAAGATAACTTGGCCAGTGAGTTTCAGCTAAGTTTTGTTCTCAAATTGTCTTCTTCCCTGCTATCTCTAGTCCTTCAGGACATAGTAGTTTAACGATGTCTTGCTTTACTTGTGTGTACGTGTGCATGCGGCTGTAAGGATATAAGCAAACAGTACCTAGTTAGTCTTCCTGTGTCTTCTGATGGTATTTTGTTTTTACTGGAACTGATAAAGCTTCATTCTTGTAGTGGACGGAAAAAGTGTAAATTGCCTTCTCTTTCTCAGACAGACTTCTGCTTGACTTTGGTCCTATAGTAATGCGCTAAAGAATGCTGACTCAATATGTCAGCATGCACAGATCAAGATAAGAACTATGAAAATACTGTTTTCCTGTAGTATTTCACACTGGTCTTTATGTATTAAAGACAATTTTTCTCCTCTCCGATACCCTCATGGTACCCGTTTGAACCCTTCTCCTCCCTGTATCTTCCCCCTTACCAACACTAAAAGACTCCGCCAGCCCTAGCAAGCGCACTTCAGTCAGCAGCTTCCAGTCCACAGTGGACAGTGATTCAGCCGCCTCCATCAGCCTGAACGTGGAGATGGACAACGTGAACTTCCATATCAAGAAGCACTCCAAGTACCCACATGTGCCCCCTCACCCTGCCGACCAAAAAGGTACGAGGTAGTCACCGGCTGGAGTTGCACATGATGGAGAGCTGGGTCCTAATGACACTGACCTGTTTGGATGCTACTGGAGTAGCAGTCCTACAGAGGGAGACGTGCGATATCTAGCTGGCGCTCGCATGCAGTTCTGATATACTTGCCTCTGAAGAGGCTCAGTAGTCCCAGTGAACCAACTTCTCTGCAGCGTGTGTAACTTCCTCTGTGACTTTCTCTTTTCAGTTGAAACGAGGTGTCCTGCTGTAGATATTCAAGTCTCACCTGGACGCCTACCTGTGCGACCTGGTTTAGGGAACCTGCTTTGGCAGGGGGGTTGGTCTCGATGATCTCTAGAGGTCCCTTCCAACCCCTACAATTCTGTGATTCTGTATGCACATAATAGAGCATACCTACATGTACAGTGTCTGCCTAACTGGGGTGAAAAAGTAGTCCATGAATATACTGGTTTAATACTCATCTTTCCCAGTTTGAGGTGAAACTGAAAAAAGCAAGCAGAAGAACAGTGAACAAAACTAACTTGATGAGCTTTCTGCTGGTTTCTAATCCTACCTTAAGTTTATGTTTGGCAGAAAAATAATCATGCTGATACATGGTATGGCCAAGTTTGATCTATGTATGTTACAGATAATTGGGACTTGTAGCGAATTCATTCTTTCTTGGAGTTTTAACAGAGCTCTTATGTTGGTGTGTCTCAGTATACAAGATTTACCTTTATTCTCACAGGTGAATTGCATTCTCTGAAACTGAAGTGATAGCTAAGGAGAGGTGGGAAGGAGGACTGGCCACAGCTGACTTCTGAAGTGTGTTAGATAATGGAGAGTGAGGCGAATTAGAGGGAGCATTTGTCATTACCTACTGTAACTACTATTTGCTAAAAACATTTACAGAAACAAATCGATGCTTTCTTCTTATCTCAAAGAGGAGTAGAGCAAGTTTGAAATTCAAATTTGACTGTGGTTTGTAACGGGAAGATTGTCAGTGCTACTGACACCAATTTGTTGATGTTTCCTTCAGTCTTGTTTCCAGCTCATGCCCTAATCAAATGAGAAGTTTATACATCTGCAAGGAGAGGAATATTGTAGAGAGGGAGAAATTTATCAAAGAATTCTTAATTGGAAGGGGGGCTTTTTAAAGAGAGCTTGAACCAGGCCCAGGTGTGTTGCAGCATCCTAAGAGTTTACAGCTGTAGCAAGTTAATCTTTATTAGTCTGTGCTGGTATTAAAACAGGCTGTAGTCAGTTTAGGCATAGGGTAGTGTTAGAAAACCTGTATTTCAGATTTTCTGGTTTCCTGTGCTTTTCAGTTCTTATATGTAAAAAGCTTTGTGTGATGAAGGGGGAATGTAAAAGACCCTGCTTCTCCACAAGCTGTCAGCCAAGTCAAGGTTTTTTAATAACCAGAAGTGAAGCTCTTTTTTTTTTTAAAAAAAAAAAAAAAAAAAAAAAACAAAAAAAAACTTTAATGATGGAGTGCTTGAGGAAGATCATCAGAGAGGGCAACTAGTGAGGGAAGTGAAAAGAGAATTTTGCTTTTAAATTATACATAATGGCAGTACAGTGATATCTTGGGATCTCTGCTGAGTAGTATTTGTTAGCTGTTCCTGAAACGTGTGGCCTTTTAACCAGGTTATTCTCCTAGGAGTATAGTTCATAGCTGAATACTTCCCTCTTTTAAGAGGGAAAGGTACCTCAGTAATGTCAGCAGAATGTCCAGAACTGAGATAAGGTAGAGGTATAAGTCATTAAAACACATGATGGAGAAGTAAATGTTTTCTTGCATTTTTTTTTTTTTTTGAAAAAATCTGTTTCTCTGCATATTCAGAAGACTCATTTCACATCTTTTATTGTTTTCTAACAATGTCTGCATCATCAGAGTCTTTATAGGAAAGATCTAACCAGGGTGCAACAAGTTAAAATGTTCACTGACATCCTGAGTAGCAAGATATATTTCCTGGCAATAGGGAAACAGAAATTTCCTGAGTACTTAGATGTTTGTTACAGGAAGGACTTCAAAAATTAGGTGTCACAAAACTCTGCAGTGCCCAGGGCTGTACAATGTATGACTTCTAAAACTTTGTTCCAGAGTGTATTAAAGTATGAATGCAAGCAAAGACTTTCACCCTGTGTTCTGAGTGATCCTGGCCGTTTTCTGCAACAGATGCCTTCCAGGGTGTTAGTGATTGTCAGAGTGACACTGATCAGACAGAACTAGATGGTTAGCCATTTTCATTTTACATAGAAGCTTATTTTAGTAGAGGACTGCTCTAAAGCAATTCCTCCTATTTTATTACGTTGGCCTGCAATGTCAGAGATGGATGTTGGCGTTATGATAGTAGAGGTTGAATCTTTCCACTAATATTCCGTGACCTTTTGTTGCCATGTGACTGATGGTGGCAGAGGGACAGTCTGACAAAATGACATCTGATATGGAAGTGTTATGAAGCAAAGATATGCCGCTGAATTCTACTGTGGTGGAAAAAAAATGCCACACACTGAGACTTATCAAACTTGTTGAACGTTTGTGGAGATCAAACAGTGGATGTGAGCACAAAGAGGTGGTGGGTGGTGTGTTTCAGTAATGGTGACTGCGATTTGAAAGACAAGTCATGTTCCAGAAGGCCATGCAGATTTTGGAGTGTGGTATGCAGGATTTTGTTCAGCACTGGTGAGTGCATAGCTACTGGTGGTGAGTTGAAAAAAGTGTTCTGTAGCTGAGAAGTTGCCCTATCAAATAGTGTTATTGTGCTCTTTGTAGCAGTTGTAGTTTCTATGGAACTAAATAGGAGGCATTATTTTCAGAGTGACCTATGTAACAGAGCACTATTTCATGACATTGGGTTTGTAGGTGTTAGAGATCAGTAACTTCCCTGTGCCAGGCAAATGTGTGGCTTGGTTTTGTCTGAATTGTCCTGTGCTTAGACCAGGTGACTAGGCAGTGACTTAATTTTCTTTAGAAAGAAAAAAGGGAAATGGATGAAGATGATCCCCACATCTTGAGCTTATTCACTTGATTTCCTCACAGCTGTGTAAATTAGAGTAATTGGGGTCAGACTGGGGGGACGAAACATCAGTGCTAGAAATGCAGGTTCAACTTTGATCAAAGTGATTAGCAGCTTTTTTCAAATGATTAAGAGAGATGCAAAAAATTGGTTGTGGAGGTCAGCTGCTTTGAAGCAATGGCCAATGATGAGCTAGCTGTGTTATATAACAGCAGTTTGTATATAGTCTGGGCCTGGTGGCAGGACTTAGGATGTGAAAGGCTGACTAATGTTCCGTGTGCTCCTATGAAATTCTAGTGATTCTAAGCCAGCTGGCATGTAATATCCTAAAAATGAGTGTAAGTGACTCACTTGTAATATCATCTACTCACAGATAATGGTACTTTCTGGCATGTATTGAAATGGGGAAACAAAGCAATATTGCTTTCTGCATTTAGATTGGGTGAAGAGATTAAATGACTTAATTCATTTATTTTAAATGTGGCTTTTAATTGCTGTGCTTAAAAACACACAATTATCAGCATAGAAAACTTTTCTAAATACCCTCAAAGCCAAACATCCTGAGAGGGCAGGAATTTTGGGTAATTTTAGATGCTAGCATCTGGTTAGGAGAGGGAACAGAAGAGAACCTTGCGTAATGATACAGTTCCTTATCACTATTATTTGCCAAGGCTTAGAGTCCTGCTGTCAGAGCCCTTTTAGATATATACCACAGTTTTTAGTGGCTGTCTCTGGATGTATGTGTCCTTTGTGTTTCTAGAAAAAAACCTGTGAGTTATGGCTGGTCTGTTTAGACTTACAGCAAATAAACCTATAAAATGTTTAAAATATCTACCTGTTGGTTTCCCGTGGAGACCTGTGAATTTGTATATGTTGTGGTATTTGCATTCAGTAATGCTCTTGAATATTACACTTCTGGTTTTATATATTCTCTATGTGTGGTGGTATTTTTTTAATTTGTTTGAGGGGGGATGTAGGATAGTTAATTGGCAGCTAACTGCTTGCAGATAGGGCTACAAAATATGCAACAACATTCTCTGGGTTTTCTCGTCTCATCCCATCTCTGTAAGAAACGTCTATTAGCCACTCTCAGTGGCTCAAACTTGCATCTATGAGTGTGTCATCTCTAGCCTAGAAACTTGTCTTGGAATAGAAATAAAAGGAAGCAAAGTTGCAGGAGGTGAAACTATTGATGAGAGGTGTTCCCTATTTGAGGGTGTTACCTGCTTCTTTAGCTAGAGCAAAACCAAGGTTAGTTTCAGCTGGTGATAACTGCTGCCTTGGCTGTGTCAGTCAGGGTTATGTGACAGATCTAATTTCAGTGTGTTCACAGTAAGAGCTTCTGCTCTGAGGCTGCTGTAAGGTTGAAAAGGACTGAAAAAGGAGGTGTTGGTATGTGTGTACATGCGTAGGAACAGTCTGATATGACTTTCTCTAGCTAGTGTTGCTGTGGGTGAACGCTGAAGGTGAGCCAACTTATAAGCAAGCTAGGTCTTGACCTAACTCTAAATGCTTAATCTAAGTGAGAGGTGAAAGGAGTCTGCGAATAACTATTGAGCTGCGAGGGATACTTGCCCCTTCTTGTTCTGCCATGTATGTTTGGTACACTGATCATCTGTTGAGTATCTGATTTCCAGCTGGGTAACTGCGGACAAGCTTAGATGTTTGAAATACTGGCGTGTAAGGGGTCTCTTGAGTGCTGCTGTTCAGAGGCTTTTGATTGCTCGTGTACTGTCTACTTCCTGTTGCTTTCTGTTGGTGTCTGAAGCCTTGCTTTGCATTGTTTGTGGTGGCAAGTGTGGACCGTTCTCAGGAAAGATGATAGAGGGTTGGTTTTGGACTATCATCATAGTGTGCAGGAATTTGGCTACTGCTTGTTTTTCCATTGAAGTCCCTTTTTTGTAGAAACAGGTAAACTAAATAAATGCACAGTAGGCCTCTGGAGGAAACAAAGGTTGAAATTTCGTTGATATTTTTTTGTTGATCCAGTAAAGAGGTATAGCAGATAGAGCTTTGTCCTGTTTGCCAAATGTGAAGGATGATGTGTAACTCTCACTTTCCTCAGTTACTGGAAGTCTACCTTTTTATGCCTGGATTCTTCAAAACACTTCAAACTATTTTAGGCTTCAGACTTCTCTCTCTCAGAAGGCAGGCTGCTTTTTGTTCCCTTCACTGTGTAAGATAAATCTCACAGCTGATCTTTCACTGAGTCTGATAATACCAAAATATTTACTGGAATGTATGATCAAAATGCCTCCTGAGCTGTATTTTTAGATGAGAACGTGGAGGTCATTCCCATGGTGTTTTTGCAGCTTGCAACAAATATATTCAGATTATCACTATTTTTTTTTAATTTCTTTAAGTGTCTATAGGAAGAACAGACTCTTAAATGTCAGTTCAGTCTGTGTTCATTTTTACTTTGTTCCCATGGTAATACAGTAATAAATTGTCTTCCTAGAACTTATTGATAGAACGAGAGGATATTCTTGTCTTGACCACTCATCAAGCTGTTGCTAAATTAGTGACTAAATGTTTAGATGAGTAATGCTGCTGCTTCTGGTGTGGGCGTGCACATCGTAATTATATGGGCACACCAGTGTAACCTGTCATTTGTCTCCGCCTATCTCCCTCTTCTCTCTTCTTTCAGAGTACTTGAATCCTGACAACGGAGGGCAGCAGATGTTCTCTATAAGTGATGCTTTTATTAAAGGTAAGATGAAAAATTTCAAATGTTGCTGTTGTGTGCTGTAATATAATGTGAAAGTTCTTTACTACTCCTTCAATAGAGCGTTGGCACTTCATGGACTGAAGTTACTTTGGGCAGAACTGGCATATGGGCTGTATTTTCTTTTAAAGCTTTTTCAAACTCAAATTCCTTCTCAAATTTCTTCAATCAAAATAACTCTTTTGTTATCCTTCTTTTTAATTTTTTTAAAGTAAGTCTCAGTGGCAGGTTTTATCACTTTTTGTTCATAACTTACCCACAATCTTGTATAACAGATGCCAGTTCTAACTTCCTTTGCAAGCAAATGGAGATGTAATACAATGAAATACACTCCTACAGAACAGTTCAAGGCTTAATCTCTTAAAACTTTCTGGGTTCCTCATCACCAATACTGCTACTTCTGTAATGAAAGACAGTCAGTCACAGTTCTGAATTTTAAAACTGCCTTCCAATTTTGTAATCAGCCTTACTTGTGGGATTTTTTTTTTTTTCCATTTGATGCTGTTGATTGTAGTGAGCTTGGAGAAGAAGAGGAAATAATTGGGGAAATCCTGGTGTCTGTGCATCCAGCAAAGTGAAGAGTTTGGCTGAAATCATACTTAGTTTTTAACTGAACTTCTGCAGTAGAGGGGGGGGAAGGGAAAATCCCTACTTAACTTCTGCTATTCTATGCAGATAATTTTGAGCACTGAGTGTCTAGAAGAAGTAAATTGCTATTTTTAAAGTGTCTTTTTCAGTCCTCTTCAGGTTATTGTAAGAGGATTTTGCATTCAGATAATGCAATTGTTTTTTGCTTGAACTCCAAAGGATTACATGCTTGCCAGTGAGAAGTTGTATACTACTGGCATGAATGATTTACAATATAGTTAGCCATTATATAAAATTGAGGAAGTTCTAATGTGGAATATTGTAATGCCTGTGTGGGAAGTAGCTTTGTAACTCTTTCAAAGCACAGAGAAATTGCCTGTAATCCTAGTAATACAAAACAAATAGAGAACAGTTTTATGGATATGCTACACATTGCAGTGATTGAAAGTAGCAGTTGCTCCCTTCAAGCAGGAACTATTCTGCACAGCTGAAACATGTTTACTGTTTCCAAAACCAGTAATGACTGCAGTTTTTACTGATATTTAGAGATGTTTAAACTGACACTTTAAAAAAAAAAAAAAGCGTGTCCAGTGGATGCAGCTTTACTTATCCTGTTTAACATAGTGGAGAGATAGCTGTGTGTGTGATGGTTAGGTAAAAAGGGATGAGAAGAAGTGCTGAGACTTCTGAAAATCTTGTGCTGCTTTCTTTATGGGAAAACCTTAAGCTTGTGAGAGAAAATAGTTCTGTCATGTTAAATGCTGTGACACAGGGTAGACGAACCAGCTTGCTAGCAGCTCACTCTGCACCTGACTAGCAAAGTGGTGGTGTTTGATATCTCACTACAAGTCACATCAGGGTTTATTGGTAGCATAGTATTTTAAAATGTTTGGGAGACATGCTGAACAAGGCCTGTACCAAGATATTTTTGGAATTTGTACTGCAGCCGGAATGGTGTAACTTGATCTTTCTACTGCAGGTAACTTGTATATGTCTTCAAAGCAGCAGCTATCTGCAGATCAAATTATTTTGCCTTTAATCAATATTCTAAATTTGAAAAGGCCTATGAATATGTAAAGTATTAAGAATTTACTTCTTATTTATAGGCAGAACTGCAGTGTAACTTTTTGTTTTTTTCCTCTTGCAACAATTTTAATTCCAGGAGAGCAAACTGCTTATGCTGTACTAGCAGTATGAGAATTTCAGTAACTCACTTTTCCTTTGCACACTTATTATTGTTACACTTAATATTGCTTATAGCATGTTACCATGACTCCTAGCTCAAACTCTGGCTTTCAAGAAGCTTAGACTTATGCCCTGGTAAATTCTTTCCTTTTCAAAATAGTCTTTCAGCTGTGACCTTATATTAACAAAGTTGGCTTGTCTCTTGCAGAATCATTATTCAACAGGAGGGTGGAGGAGAAGTCCAAAGAACTCTTTTTCACACCGCTAGGCTGGCACCACAGCAACCTGGATCTGCTGAGAGAAGAGAATGGGGAGAAACAAGCCATGGAAAGGCTGCTGTAAGAAAAAAAAACAAGAAAAAGAATTTTCATACCTTGAGTAACAATTCTGGAAGCCCTCTTGTTCTGCTAGTTTTTAGTGGGGCTCTATCTACTGTGGATATTTTTGCTCTCTTTTCTGTGGTTTTATGTAGGCTGCTCCAAAAGTAATGCCTCCTATTTATTTCTGTGGAAACTACAATGGAATACAAAGAGAACGAAAATGTTATAGAGCGATTTCTCAGCTACAAAACACCACTTTTAAACATAGTCACCATCAGTGGCCAATTAATGTCAATCAAGATGCCCTTCATTTTGTGGTGTGACATCTGGGTATGGCCATTTGGAACGTGGCTTGTCTTTCTCCTAATTGATGCCACTGTTGAAATGCAGCACTCACCACCTCTTTGCACTCACATCCACTGTTTGGTCTCCATAAACACTCAGCAAGTGTCAGTGAAAGCTATTTTTTCCCCATGGAGGAATTCAATGACAGATCTTTGCTTCATACGCATTTCAGTGTGAGAAGCCATTCTCTCTGCTGCTGTCTGTCTCATGGCAACAAAATGTCATGGAATATTGATGGGAAGGTTCAGTCTCTACTGCTCTGTGACCAACATCTGTTTGACATTGTGGGTCAACATAATAAAATAAGAGGCATTACTTTTGGAGCAGTGTGTGTCTGCTAAAGTGAAAGAGAGTTGACTGTAAAAATTTCTAAGATCCATATCTTCAGATGACTTCCTGTTTTGTAAATATTAAGTAATTAACTTTTGGAACATGACTTTTTTTAAACTCAGCTCTGCTAACCACAACCACATGATGGCGCTGCTTCAGCAACTTCTGTACAATGAGTCGCTGTCACTGTCGTGGAGGGATATCATTGTACCTGTGGTCTGTCAGGTAGTTCAAACTGTAAGGCCTGATGTCAAGAACAGAGATGATGACATGGATATCCGCCAGTTTGTCCACATCAAAAAAGTAAGTTTTCCACACTGGGTGTAGGGAAAGACAAAAGGTGAAGCTTCTGGCAGCACTCATTGTTTGAAGGGAAGGGTTGTCACCTCCACGCTCAGCTTGTCCAGTGGTGTAATTGGTTCTTCTGGCCTTTGAACAGTGTGAAGTTCTAGGAAAATTTGTACAGAAAGAGTTATGCAAAAGGTGCTTTAATGCCCCGGAGCTGACCTGTTCTTTCAGGCTTTAGGCCGCAGAAATTAGCAAAGAATAGCACCTCTGTAATGACTTGCTTCCTTTCCTGGCTTCTACTTGGTTTGTACTGAGATTATAGAGGTACTTAGCACAGTATAAGTAGCTTGTGAAACTCTGTGTGGCAATCTGTTGCCCTGCGACTTCCCATTATGGAGGATTTAACTTGCTGGATGTGAAGTACAATGACTTTCTTCCCAGAGGAAAACTTGATTGGCAGGGAGGGTGCATCCAGTTTTACCAGGTGTCCCAGTGATGTCATTGTTGAACTGTAAGGCTGGAGTTGTGGCAGGTAGAGCTTTTTCTGAGAAGCTGATGTGAAACTAACCTCCAGGAAAGTAGTGTAACTTGAAGCTCATAGGCTCAGGCTTATTTTTGCATGGTAGAAGTTTGCCCTGGGAGGCCTCTTCTGTTTGGAAGCAAGATAAAATATGAGGAGAGCAATTCTGTAGCATCTCTTGAAGCAGAAACAACTGATGCTGCCTCTCTTGAAACCCAGTTTGAAAAAAATCAAATGTTCAGAGATGAAAGCTCTCATAGGTGTCTTCACATGCCACTAAATGAAACATCTCATTCAGGAACTTGTTTCGTGTTGTCTATTGCTCCTGTGGTTGGTTGTGACTGTTGGCACAATACTCACTTATGTTTGAGCAGTAGGTAGAGGTTTGTTCTTTTTTTATCATCATTCTTGTTTGTGACTAGTGAAAATGGTTTGTACAGAGGCATATGCTCCCTGTGGCCTGTAGAACTTGAGTTTCCTCATTACTTTCCAGAGTGTGTTTGATTTCATAAATGTGTCTTTTAGGAGGGGCCTGGATGTCCTGGAACTTAATACCTGTTTTCATGCTTTTGTCCTTAGTTTCCACGATTCTGACAAAGAGTTTTGTGCCCAGCATGACGGTGTATGGTCTTTAATCTGATAACTAAGGATGTAGACAAAGCTTGTATGCTAGCCACAATGGTTGTTCTTTTAGGTTTACAATGTCTAAAAATTATTGAAATGTTTAACAATATTAAAGTGTTCAACTTCCTTTGCTCTGTTAGATCCCTGGTGGAAAGAAGTTTGACTCCATGGTGGTGAATGGATTTGTATGCACTAAGAATGTTGCACATAAGAAGGTAACTTGGTCAAGTGCTGGCAGTAGAATGTGCTGAAGGAAAGAAGTGTGCTGTGTCTTTCTTGTGTGTTATATGCTGCTCTCACCACTTTCTCCAGTTTGTTGAGCTCAAAAGCAGGAAGCATTTCTTTTCAAAGCTGTTTTCTTTCGGATAAGACAGTAGTGGGAGAGGGAGAAAAATCTTCCCTCACGCATTTGTAGTAAAATATCCTTTCCATCCCTTTCACTCCAGAGCCATCTAATGATAGTCTGGGGAAGAGGAGACTGGGGGAGACCTTACAGCTCTACAACTCCCTGAAAAGGAGGTTGTGGTGAGGTGGGGGTCAGCCTCTGCTCCCGTATAACTAGCAATAGGACTAGAGGGCATGGCCTCAAGTTGTGTCAGGGGAGGTTTGGGTTGGATATTAGCAAAAATTGCTTCCCCAGAAGAGAGGCACTGGAACAGGAGTCACTGTCCCTGGAGAGGTGTTCAAGAAGTGTTTAGATGTTGTTCTAAGGGACATGATTTAATGGGGAGGTGGTGGTGTTAGGTGCGCAGTTGGACTGGATGATCTTGGGAGTTCTTTTCCTGCCTTGGTGATTCTATGGCTGCCCCAAGTTCTGGACAGAAAAAAAGACCTTTATGGTCCTGATTTTTGTGACAGTACGGTTAAGTGAATCTTTAAACAAGGCTAGAGATCAAGATTGAAATGATCCACCTGGAGGCTGTAAAGTATATCGAGACTTAATATGTGTGTATATATATACTTAGTGCTCTTGGAGGTGAGTGCAGAAACCTTCAGCATTGCAGTCTTGCTGGACAGTAGCTGTGAAATTCAAAAATCTGGGTGTAACATAAGTAGATGGCGTAGGAAATAGCAAAGAAATTTTGCCTAAATCCAGTCATGGGTAGTCTGGTGTAGCATTTTTCCTTTCTGCCTATCTCTTTTTAAAAATTGTTTGTTTTTTTTTTTTTATTTTTTTAGATGAACTCTTGCATAAAAAATCCCAAAATTCTTCTGCTGAAGTGTTCAATAGAGTACCTTTATAGAGAAGAAACAAAATTTACCTGCATAGACCCTATAGTACTTCAGGTAAGAGTATGCTTTTATTGGTTAGAATTGCTCAGGGTCTAGTGATTCAAGCAAAAGACAGTGATCAGTGCACACCTAGCTCTTCACTGTGTAAGGTGCACTTGAGTTAGTGGAATTGCTCAGGAAATAAAGCAATTTCCTTTTGTAGTAGCCAGCGAGGAAAAGTTGTGCTGAATAGAGCATGAACTTCTAGTCTTCTGCTGAGATTCCAAGAGATTTATGAGAGGGCATCTGGAGTTGCACATATTGAGAGCAATTTTATGATCCTTACAATTAAATGTAGTAGTTCAGAAAACATTCCTCAATTTTAGTGATGCACTGCATAAGAACCATACAATTCAGCAGCTCAGAGCTAGGCATTGTTTGGGTGTGCAGAGAGGTATTAAGTGAATATAGGCAAGATTTAGGTTGTACCTGTGTAACTTTTTTTGTCAGGCTTGAACAAATGGGACAACACCCAACCTAATGAAATTGATGAACTACAAAATGTCACTTTAGAGCTTGTGCTCAGCCCTTGTGAACAGGGAAGTGCCTTGGGTATGAAAACACTGAAATAGGTGGAGTTTTTGTTTAATATACTGCATGTCTGCTTGAGGATCGGTTTTCAGATCTTTTCCAGGATACTTGTAACACAGGCATTTTGTGCTTTACTGAGCTTGGGCCATAATGTTAGTAGTTAATTATTTCCTTCAATTGCATGCGATACCACTTCCATTTAGTGCTTAATGGTAGGCTTACAGGTGTGAAAGCTTTGGCAGTAAAATTTCTCAACACGCTGAGCTGTTTTCCAGTAGAAAATTTAAGCTGAGACCTGTCCTTGGAGTGGGACAGAAGCAATTGCTATTCTTTATGACTACTGGTTGCTGTGATGTTTCAGTGCTTGCTTCAGAAATTGATCGTAGGTATTTGTTTGTCTGTGTTAAAGCTCTCTAGGGCTGAGAATACTTCAGAAATCCTAGGTCAGTTGAAGAAGTCAGTTTCTATCAGTTGGCAAACTTTCTTGTGATGCCTTTCTTATGCCCACAACCTCTAAAACTTGACTGATGTGAGCCACAATAACACACTTGAAAATACCTGGCTTCAGAAGCTGTACCTTCCCTTCAGCAGTGTAACTGATTAGTTCTAATGACTTTGCAGCCATATTTTCTTTTTGTGCATGGTAGTGAGGGGAGATAGTGAAATGAAACCAGGTGATGGGCATGGCAGCAACAGCAGTTTTGCAGATTTAAGGACTGAGTCTCTCAGGGTCTTGAAGAGATGCAGCATTTGTATTCTGTGAGTGAATGGAAGCATCCCTGTGTGACACTGCTCAACATTTGCATTTACCTGAAGGTGGAGAACATAATATTGCAAATGACTTTTGTTTAAAATGCTCTATTACTAGCACCTTTTGAACATTTTCCATTGGGATTGTAAGGTACGTACAGATTTTTTTTTTCCTCTGTAGAATCATAGAATGGCTTGGGTTTGAAGGAACCTTGAAGAATTCCACTGCCACTCCATCCAATTCTACTGCTCTGGACAGGGTTGCCAACCACTAAATTAGACTTTAAATCAGATTTTCCAGAGTCCTAGGCAGCCTGACTTTGAACACCTTCAGAAATGGGGCATCCACAAATTAATCTGGGTAGCAAGTGCCTCACCACACTAAGTAAAGAATTTCTGCCTAGCATCTAACCTAAATCTTCTCTGTTTTAGTTTAAAGCCATTCTGCCACATTCCCACTTACTATCAGACCATGTAAGAAGTCAGTCCGTACCTACTGAAGCGTGTTCTTCTCTCTCATTTATCAGAGGAGGTACACTCTCCTTTTCCTGTCTCTTCTGACCATTGTACCTGTACAATCCTTAAAGTTATTTTTCAATCCCTTGTCAAATTCATTTCTTCACACCTTGGTCTTCCTGATCCCATTGCTGCACATCCAGATGGCATCCCTGTGCTCTTCCCATGTCACATGTACAGGCAGTAGAATAAGGGATGCTGTCCCTCTTTTTCCTCAGTTTGACCAGTAGGTCCTTGCTCAGCTGTGACAGAGAAGCTGTGCCTTCTCTACTTGATTTCTTGTACCAGAGAATGAGAAGCTCTTGTGCTCTCAGAATGGCATCCTTTAGAAGCTGCCACCTCTGCTCCACTCCTTTGTCCCTAAGGAGAACTTCCCAGGGGATCTCATCCAGTAGTTCCTTGAACAGCTGGAAGTTAGTTCTCCTGAAGTTCATGGTCCTGACTTTGCTTTTTTTTGCTAGGCTCTTGTTCCTCTAGATCCCAAGCCTAACCAGGGCATGATCGCTACAGGGTGCTTCCAGTCTTAACCCCTTTAATGAGTTTATCTGCACTGATGACCACTAGATCCAGTAACACTTCTCTGGTGAATTTGTCTAATACCTATACAAATAAGTTAACTTAAATAAAGATATTTGAGTTTCATATGGTAGAAGGAAGAACTGTTTTGTAGAGAGTGACCTACTTTATCACGAGCAGAGCTGCTGACTCTGGACTGTGTTTACAGAGGTGGTTTCTGCTGTGTGATGTGTCTGTGCATATGTAAAAATGTTTGGATGCTGCAGGTCTCTTATTTCAATAGTCATGTATGATTAGGGCACAATGATACACTGAATGGTGTGCTTAGGAGGTGAGGAAATGTGCACAATGGAAAAAAATAAATATCTGGTTTCCATGTTTCATAGGAGTGGTCAGTATATAAAGTAGTGTTAAGTATTTAGTGTTTGGGGTTTTTTTTTTTCCAGACAAGTTTGCTCTAGCTAACTGCTATGTGGTGTTTATGTCTGCAGGAGAGGGAGTTCCTGAAGAACTATGTGCAACGGATAGTTGATGTCAGGCCTAATTTGGTCCTTGTTGAAAAGACTGTGTCTCGAATCGCCCAGGACATGCTGCTAGAGCATGGTATCACCTTAGTCATCAATGTCAAGCCGGTGAGTGTTTCATGTCAGAGTCTACCTTACAGTGGAACCCTTAACTTCTCCTTGTAGCAGGCTCCTTGAGGAAAGCACAGAAAAATCATTTATTTTCTCTCCTAAACGAACCACGGCTTTTCTTTTAATGGCAATTCAATTCCAAGACATAACAGGTAAACCTAGAATGTAACTTTTCCTCCTGCTCTCTGCTGTGCCCTTGCTGGCAGGTCTTTATACTGAATTGATTCGAGTTAATTCTGACTCCTATTTCTCACGCATGCTCAGTGGTCCCCTGCGATCCGCAAAAGGCCCTCTGTTGCTGTGAGGCAGGGTGAGCCAAGCAGAGTTTGTTGTCCTGACAGACATCCCTACACTGACTGCACTGTATCTCCTGGAACTTCTTTCACTTGAATGGGTTCAGTTGTCTTCATGAAAGGGCTTGACTTTCTCTCTCATCAGTAATATTTGTCAGAACTCTCTTAAAGTTTTATTTGGGGATGGAAAGTGATTGAATGACTAGATTTAACTCAGAACTTAAAAAATAAGAGGTAACTGTAGATTCTTACTGTTCTTCTCATTTTCACAGCAAGTTTTAGACCGTGTAAGTCGAATGACTCAGGGAGACTTGGTGATGTCAATGGATCAACTGCTGACCAAACCACGTTTGGGAACCTGTCATAAATTTTACATGCAGGTGTTTCAATTGCCCTATGGTAAGTAAAGCTTGTTGTATCCTGCTTTGTGTGCATGAGACACTGTGTTTTGTTCTTCTTAACAAGATCTGAACAATCATGTGCTTTGTGTGATCAAGTATTATTCTTCCTATTAATTTCTTTTCTTTTGCTACAACTAGGAATAAAAGTGTTGTTAATAATATTAATAAATATAAATAACATTAACAAAAGTGTGGATGAAAAAACTTGATCAAGAAGTGCAAGGTCTCCCTATCTTACTAAGATGAGAGATGTTAGGTTTTTAATTAGGTTGGATTGTTTCTTCTAAATTGGTTTTTTTTTTTTTTTTTTTTTTCTCCTTCCATTGCCCTGGAGTCCACTGTCCAACTTAGTATTTAAAATAGGAAGGGTTAACTTTAGTGCTAGATAAGATTTCCCAGGGTCTTCTCAGCAAAGTGTTGAAAATAGTGCAGAATAGAGATTTCATGATCGGTCTGTGCACCTGTTCAGCAGCTTAGCCATTCTCACTGTAAGTAATATTTTCACAAAACAAGATTGACTGTAGTTGTTATCCTAATGCTTGTATTTTGCTTTTTTTTTTTTGTTGTTGTTGTTGTTTTGTTTAGATCAAACAAAAACTCTAATGTTCTTTGAAGGGTGTCCTCAGCACCTGGGTTGCACTATCAAGTTGTGTGGTGCTGCAGAGTATGAACTGGCCCGTGTGAAGGAGATCTTGATCTTTATGATCTGTGTGGCTTATCATTCCCAGCTGGAAATCTCTTTCCTTATGGATGAATTTGCCATGCCCCCTACTCTCACCAAAAACACTTCCTTTCACTCCCTTATTGAGGAACCAGGAGATGAAAATGAACAACAGGACCTGTTCAATGGTGAGGATTTCAGCACGACGATCAGAGACATTGAACCCTCAGCTGAAAAGCTTCCTGTGATCTCTGAATCAGTGTCATCTGATGAGGTCACCCTGCTTGAACAAAGAGGTTTATTTGAGAGAGGTGACCAAGAGAACAGTCAGCTGGAAACAGTGCCCTCAAAACAGCAAGAGCACCACAAAATGGAGTCGTCGTTTCCAGTGTTTCACTCTGTACCTCCGGTAGTGCCTGAAACATCTCTGCTCCCCCTCCATGGCATGGACCAACACTTGGTGGCTCTGGACAGCCAGCTGCTAGAGCCTATTCAACAGGCAGATGATCTGCAGGAATCCAAGAATCAGATGAGAGTCTTCAGAGACCCTCTCCAGGATGATACTGGTTTATATGTTACAGAAGAGGTAACGTCTTCTGAGGATCGTCTCAAGACGTACTCAGCAGCATTTAAGCAAGAGCTGAAAGATGTTATTCTCTCAATTTCTCCTGTAATGGTGTTCCGTGAACCATTTCTATTGACTGAAAAAGGCATGAGATGCCCTGCTCGAGAATACTTCCCTGAGCAGGTTTATTGGTCTCCTCTCCTTAACAAGGAGTACAAGGAGTTGGAGAGTAGAAGGAAGAGACAGTTATTGCGGGATCTCTCTGGACTACAAGGGATGAATGGGAGTGTCCAAGCCAAGGCTATCCAAATTTTACCTTCCCATGAGCTGGTCAGTACTAGAATAGCAGAGCATCTAGGTGATAGCCGGAGTTTAGCCAGAATGCTGGCTGACTATCGAGCCAGGGGAGGGAGGATACTACAGAGAAGCACAGATCCCTTTGCCCAAATGAAGGATGTATCCAGTGTCCCTGCTGGAAGAACCGGATGCAAAATTGAAGAGGATGAGAAAGGACTGGCTCAAAATGAATCCTCCTGGTCTCATAAGGTAAGATCTATGCTATACAAAACACAGTTAGATCTGTTTCCCGTGGTAATACAGAACATGTAGTCTTTTATGCCAAATGTTGAACCAGAGGCTTTTTTTGCCTAAGTCAAAGCCATTTTAGATTGCAGTGCTCTGGGCACTTAAGCTAACATAACCAAGGACTAGATGAATATGAGAGAAACTGAATGGGGAACTGACTGCAAAATTTCCCTGAGAAGGGAAACGCTTGTGAGACTCAGTTTAGTATTGACTATTCAGCTCAGCTGCATATGACTGATTCCAGAGAATGTGGAGGGGGCAGAAACTTCTTTTTTTCTGAAGCAGCTTTCCTGTGCTTGTACTGATTTCTAAAGGTGTAAGAGGGCTTAATGCCATGGAAGCAATAGTAGACTGCAATTACATTCAAATATTTGTAAAGTATTGGGAGATTTGGAGAAATATGATAGTGTCTTAATGGAGGGAGTGGTATCTTGTCAGAAATTCCCAAGTAAGACAGTGTACTTGAAACCAAAAATATTTGAAGACAGGGGAAACTGTTATGACAGCTGCTGATTTGTATCTGTGGTCTTGGGACTTTCTTGCACTGGGAACTATACACAAAAAGGTGTCTATGACAAGAGTAGCAGAACTGGTTTCTTGTAATAGCAATAGGTTTGGGTCCTGAGCCACTATTGGCCCCTAAGTTCATGAGCAGAAGTCATATTTTAATGGATGCTTAAATATACACCTGTGTAGCTTCACAGGCAGTAGTCTTACAGGCCGTAGGAGTAGCCATTACTCCACTTGTCTGTGCTATTTTAAATTTACTCAGTGATCAAAGAAAATATTTGGTGACTTCATAGCTCTGTAAGGTGTGGAAAGGGAGATGGTTCCATTCTGGCAGCAAAGTGGTAAATCCCTTCACAGAGAAGAACAGAAAATTGGAAGCCTTTCTGTAGCTGCAGTAAGTGATTAACATATAATGGCAAAGATTTGCCTTCAAGTTGTGCTAAAGTGTACAGAGTTTTGGAGGTGCTGCACATCTGTCTTGGGGCCTTGATTGTTTCCTGTTTTTTGTCCGTTTAGCTTCCTTTCCACAGTAACATATATGCATGCACTGTTTTTATTACACATACTAGTTATGTTCTTCTGAAAATGGCCAGTTACTTTTGTCTGATAATGTAAAGTGAATCCGTGGAAAAGAAATAAGCAGGAATTTGTCCTTAAATCTATCAGAATATAATTCTGTCATTGGTTGTGTGTGGATGGAGATGTCTGTAACCAATGAGTGAGTTGTTTCCTCTCAACCAGGTGGATTGCTTGAGTCCAGTAAACCATCAGAGGCTCTGTGTTCTCTTCAGTAGCTCTTCTGCACAGTCCAGCAATGCTCCAAGTGCCTGTGTCAGCCCCTGGTAGGAAAAATACTCTTCTGTAGCTTGTGTAGTTGCTGTCTTCTTTCCAAAGACAAGGTCAGTCCTTGCATCTTAACATATTTCACTGAGGACTCCTTTGTAGGTTTTAATCATTCTCTAATGGGAACTGTTGCCAAAATTTCCTCTTGCCTGATCAGGTGGATCCAGAGCTGCATCTCACAGCCTTTCTAATCTCAGGCCTGAAGGAGAAGGCCCAACATGAAACAGAATGCTTTAGTTAGATCTTTGACTGCAGAGATCTGTATGTGTAGGGAGGGCACTTCTTTAGGCTGCTCTGTGAGGAAGAGTTAGTGTATATAAATAATGTCCAAGCTTAAAGATAATAATCTCAGAATACTTATGGGTTGTATTACTGAGAATGGGATTTGAAAATACTGCTGTCTTGCTTATAAAGTCAACAATGTTAAGACTTTCATCTACATTTTTAGCTAAGAGGGCTGTGACTTGTTGATTATGCAGAACTTATGATGTGCTTTCATTGCTACTCCTTGGACAAGTCTTGATGTTTCATTGTCTAAACCAAGTGAAATTTTATAGATGCCTTTCTTGAAAAAGAAGGTCTCGAGTTCCTATAAAAGCTGAGGAACGAACCAATGAAGGTGATAAGCTCACTTAAAAGCAGCAATAAAATGATGTAATTATATTAGACAGAAATATATGAATTGGCACTTCAGTTGATATTTATCTGTTAAGTGTCTTGGTCACTTCAGATTCTGAGAAATAAAATGCTGCTGTTAAATTTTATTCAAGTACTTTCAGGCTTTTTTCACCTTCTAGATGTGCTCTTTTTGTAACTGTTCGGATGTTAATGTTCTATGCCTCGGTGTTCTTGAAAATATTCTTCAAAAGTACAGTTGAATTGTATCCCACTTTTAAATATGAAGTTTAAAGTTGTTCCTTGTATCTCATTAGTGAACTTGTCAGCAAGAACTTGGGAATAGTAAAGGCTTGTAGTGGGGAAGCCTGTGAGTGTATACAGGGCTGAAAATAACCAAGCAAAAGGTGCAGATCTGTGCACCTGCAGGCCATTGCACAATTAGCAGTGGCAGAATTCTTCCTCTAAAGCTTTTCTTCCTTCTCTGCTTTAGGATTGTGACCATGGAATTCTACGGAAAAAATGACCTGACTCTAGGGATTTTTCTGGAGCGCTACTGTTTTAGGTGAATTAATTGTATATCTCATTCTAAACCAAATAGAGTGTCCCATGTTAAGTGAGTCACTCTGTCTTCATAGTTCCAGTATTTTTTTTATATGAACAAGGAAGTTGTTTTTTTTTTTTTTTTTTTATTTCAACTCTTATTGCGTTTGAGAAATTTCCTATTTGATTCTGGTACCTGAGGAATCCTGCATTGATTTTTCTGATACCAGTTTCTGTGGTGACTTGAGAGATGACCATTCAAAGAAAGATCATGGATTTTTCTGATCAAAGAGGTGATATGGCACTATTTTGCATACCTCTTCCTTCAGGATCTGAAGCTTTTAAGATTTTGAGGGCTCCTTGGCATATTTTTGCCCCCCATAGCCTTTCCTCTGGTACATTGCCGAAATGCTCTTCTAATTTGGTATCAAGCACTTCCAGTGTGTGTGTAATATGTTGGTAGAAACAGATTCAGTAATAGAAACAGTAAAAAAATAAGAAAAAAAAAAAAGACTGTGATAGCTACTGTGATAGCTACCAGTATCCAGTCACTGTGTTGTGACCAATACAGATATTGCTGGCAGGGGAGACTCCCTACATGCTGTTCCTAAATGAGAACAGTAAGCTGTGCAGCAACAGCTTTCGTTAACGGCTTAGGAAACTTTTTATAGAAAAGATTAATAGTACTGTGACATTAAAAGCCATACTAGATGAGTTGAACCAACTCTTCAGCAGTGTGTTGCATACAATCATTCATAGGTGTTTCCGTTTTTCTCTGTAAGGCCTTCATACCAGTGCCCCAGCATGTTCTGTGAAACGCCAATGGTGCATCACATTCGTCGCTTTGTGCATGGGCAAGGATGCGTGCAAATTGTGTTAAAGGAGCTGGACTCCCCAGTCCCTGGGTACCAGCACACAATTCTTACTTATTCCTGGTGTAGGCTGTGCAAACAGGTAAGGATGAGAACTTAAGAATCAGTTGGGTGTGTATGGAAAGATGGGATTTTACAAAAGCTGTTACAAAAGCTGGTGCCAAGTGGTCCTGTTTGTCTACAAATTCCTCCTGTAGAATTGGAAACATTGAGGATAAAATGTAGTATGATGGAGGTGTATTGCAAAGTATCAGTCCTGAAAGAATAGGCTTAAGTGAAATTGATGTATTGTTGGTAACAAGTTTCTGACATGGGAAAAACTAGGGCTGTCCTTTCAGAGGTGAAGAGCGTTGTCCCTTCCATGTTAATCTGTACAAGCATCAGAAGAATGTGTGTGCGGGAAGGGGTAGATGTTGGAACCTCCTGGCTGAGTAATTGGCTAAACCCACTTGGTATTCTTTGATCTGCTTTAAACTGGACAGTCTGCATTGAGTCAGTGTAATGTCTAGACTTCCTTTAGTAGGCATTAGAAAGTAAATGAAATCTTCATTAGAAAGATGAAGAACCACAACATAATAAGACTGTGTATTATCTGAAACTTGTTCTTTAATTAAACTAAGAAAAACATTACCAGCTGGATATTCTTCTCTAGCCAACCTTTCTGTAAATCTTAGGATCCTTCTAAGAGAGATGAGTATAAAAAGATTCATGCAGTGCCTCAAACTCAAAACATCTTAATTATCTGTGCTAATGACTCAGTTCACCAACTTAATAGTGGCTTAAACATAGGTGTTGGACTTACAGGTATCTAAAAGAAGTTAATGTAGTTGCTGAAGGCAAGCCCTACAATCCTTATGTATACGCTGCCCTACACTGCTTGTGTATATTCTGTAACCTTTTATTACTGTGTGCTCATGTAAACATTAAGTTTGTAGCTATTAAGTGTAAATGGCTGCTTCAAGCTTGGAAGCACTGCTGAGGTTGAAATACACCGCAGAGTATTTGTAGATGAAGAATCACTAGGGAAAAAGTATGTGATGAAAACACTGCTACTGACTGGTCTGCTGGAAATTCTCTGTATACAAGAGTAGCATGCCGGATAGAATGATGTGTTTGTGCTCCCCCAGCTTAGTGGCTGTTAATATCAACTGGCATTTATTGTTTATCCAGTTTATTGTATCCATCTGTGCATTGTTTAGCTCTGTATAAACAATTTTTTAGTTGTTTTGGTATCTTTTGGGGTTATGACTGCTTCTGGTACTAATAATTACTAGATTAGAGTCTAGATTAGCCTGTCTTATTTTTCTGGTTGAAGAGTGAAATTAAGACAATTTGTTTTCATTTTCAGGTGACACCAGTTGTTCCTCTTTCTAGTGATTCTTGGTCTATGTCTTTTGCAAAATACCTTGAGCTGAGATTCTATGGGCACCAGTACACACGAAGGGCCAATGCAGAGCCTTGTGGTCATTCAATTCACCATGACTATCACCAGTATTTTTCTTACAATCAGATGGTGGCATCTTTCAGGTGAGGTCCTCTGGTTATTAATAAATGAATTTGTTCTCTAGTACTGTGTGAAGCACGTGGCTCTGACAAAAATTCCTTGAGTCTGCCCCTCACAGGGTAAAGCAAGGGATAGCATGACACAGATTGTGTGCTGGAATGCAGAGTGCATTGTAGCTGCCATCACTGTGGTGGATGAGGCAGACAATATTTCTAAGAATAGCCATAGAATCATAGAATTGTTGATAAAAATACTGAAGATCACCTGTCCCAAGACAGACTCATGGTGGGCACCACTTATGACCGGCTTCCTCCTGGACATAGAGCCACTGACAACAACCTTGTGGCTATGACCATCCAACCAATTATTTATCCACCTAATAATCTAGCCTTCAAATCTATCTCTCCTATTTAGAAATAGCCATGTGACATGGGGCTGTGAATTGTTCCAGTAGATGATGCTGAAGGGAAACACTTCTGCTTTGCATAATCTAGAATACTTTCAGAACTCTATTCTGAAGCTGAAAGAAGTTGTGCATATACCTCCATATGAGGAAAATTATTAAAAGTTGTCACATTCTCTTCTCAGCTACTCTCCAATCCGTCTACTTGAAGTATGTGTCCCACTACCCAAGATCTATATCAAACGGCAGGCTCCGCTGAAAGTTACGATTTTGCAGGACCTTAAGGACTTCTCTCAAAAGTAAGCTTTGATTTTAACTTATTTGTATTTTGGACTTCATAGCAAAACACAAAAATATGTGTGCTGACATAAGTAATACACTTGCTAAATATTTGTAATTTAAAATAAATGCATTTAAAATCATTACTTTTCTGGTTGGATGTATTTGTAAGGGAGAGTAGCACTGGAGTGTTCTTTCCTATCTTTACCAAATTCCATCAATACTAATTCTTATCTCTTTGTCTGTTGCAGTTTAGCTTAATAATCTTGTCTTCTACTGGCTGTGTTTATTGTAATCTCTGACTGCTGCATTGTTATGAGTGATCTAGCATGTTTCCATACTAATAGACAGTCTAGAATGCTTTTGTAGTCTGAATCGAACTGCTGTAGGCGTAGACACCTTCTAAATGTAGGAACAAAAGTGTGGAAGACAGGCATGGTGGAAGAAACTATCTTAATTCTAACCTGACTGCTGTTTGACCTCATGGCAGCTTTCCTATTTGGCTGACTTATCCATGACTGCCTGACTTCAGAAATTGTCTAGTTTTGTTGAGAATGGAAATGTTTTATTCTCTCTCATCCCTGCCGGTGGTGTTGGTTTAGCTTGCAGTCTGACAGTCTCCCCAGGCACCAGCAGTGCAACAGCTCTGCTCTGCTAGTAATGCAGTTGTGACCTTTCAATTGCTCTCTGAAAACTTTTGCGGCTAGGAATAAGCTGTGGTGAAGGATGTTATGGTGTGTAGTTTAGAGATTTCTACAGCATGGATGGATTTTTTTCCAAAAGTCATGGTGAATTCAGTGGGACATCCTACTGTGCAGAAAGCTGTCATGTATCGTCTTTTGTATTCTGAAACTCAAACTGTAAGCACGTTCAGATTTCTATTAAAGAATGTTGAAGTTGTTTCAAGTAATCACAGCTTAACTCTTTGTATTCCTGTTCTCAGGGTGTCACAAGTGTACCTTGCTGTTGATGATCGCCTCGCTTCTCTGAAAACTGACACTTTCAGCAAAACAAGGGAAGAGAAAATGGAAGATCTGTTTGCACAAAAGGAGGTAATGGATTACCTCTGTATTTACAGAACATAGGCTTTAAAGGTGTGGAGAAGCCAGTTGGATTGAGCATTATGCCGTGTGACAGAATGCTGACAGTTTTTGTTTTGGCAGATGGAAGAGGGGGAATTTCGAAACTGGACTGAGAAAATTCAGGCAAGGCTCCTTTCATCATCACTGGACACACCTCAACAGCTTCAATCTATTTTTGAATCTCTGATTGCTAAAAAGCAAGGACTCTGTGAAATGCTGCAAGCCTGGAATAGTAGGTAAGAGAAGAGATGCGGTAATGGTAACATCAGTACTCTGCTGATACTGTAAGGGAAGAAGTTGTATGCTTTTTCTCCCTCTAGTGCAATTGCTATACATATACGTAGTGCTGAATACCCTTTAATGGCTGGTTGACTGGAACAGAAAATTGTTTAAGGCTGTGTGATGTTGTAGAGCACAACTTTTATCTGAGGCGGGAAAGTGTCATTTGAACCAAGGTGGAAGATGGAAGCATGTAAAAGCAAGTGAGTGAAATGGTCTCAGGTGGGCACATGCCAAATGAAATGCTTAAGATGACTTATTTTTCTGTTATTTTGAAGACTTTGCACTCATACTTTAGAGTAGCTGGAATGTGGTGTTTGCAGTGTCTCTTGTTGCTGTAGTGCTAATCAAGGCATGAGGAAAAGATTTTCTTTGGCCATAGAACACGGCTTCAGCACGCATTAACAGTCATCTTTAGTTTGTGTTAAAGGCTTGTGAAGGCATGCTGGGTTGTATTCTAATATGGAGAAACATAATTTTTGCCTTTTACAGCTATATGTGTAACCTGTGTTTTGAGTTTATTTTTTTTAATTTTTTTAAAAAGGTTGCAGGATCTTTTCCAGCAAGAAAAAGGGAGAAAACGCCCCTCAGTACCTCCTAGCCCTGGAAGACTGAGACAAGGTGAAGAAAGCAAGGTACAAGCAGCAGGCTGGACATTACTTAAACAGGAGCACTAATGTCTAAAGTTCAACTTCAGTTCACTTTAATAATTAGTTAACTTGTGTTACTGCATTGTTTAATTTTCATATGTAAACATCTGAATGGCGTGTTGTCTACTTAGCTTCTTCTAAAGACATAAACCATAAACACATAAACCAAGATCTATATTCTACAGAAGAAGATGGCTGAGAATATGATATTAGTGTGTTCTTCTTTTATGCTTCTGGACAGTTGAAATGAATGCTCACAACAGAGCTGTGCTCGTTGCCAAGGTTGTGTCTAGATAAGAGGTCATCTTGTTAGAGCTGGACTGGATGAAAACACACTGAGAGAGAACGGCACAGGAACTATTATCTATTAATGTTATTCCTTATGAAAGAGAAAAGGCAAAATATCAGGAGAGGCAGAGCAAAGAATGCAGGGAGAATGATAGTGAATTTATAAATTTGTCCCTAATTTGGTGATATCTGTGGGAATGGGCAGGGAGGATGCGTACATGATCTTGAACTGTTGCCCCTCTGGCTGTGTGTAAGGATACAGTTGCCAGCATGCTGAACAACTGCCTTTGTGGAGCTGATACTCTGAGGAAATGTCCAGACTGCAAGGCAGCACAATACAAGTTTTGCACAGGGAGGCTGACCTCCCAAATAGGTAGCTAGCAAAATGCACAAAGAAACCTGGTAGCACTCTGGTTTGCTCAGCTGCATGCATTTGTGTCCTTTCCATGTTAAACACTCAATGCTAAAACATGCTTAGCCTTCAGTTAGCTGTAAGCTTATGTAGAAGAAGAGTGTTATCTTTAAAGCAGCATGTAGAGGTGATAGCAGGCATGAGCAATCTTGTGAAACTAGATTGCTGTTGCTTTGTCTCTTTCATATACTGGTAGAGGCAGTGATGTGCTGAATCTGAGAACAGTGGATAGGAATGCTCTGCTGTGGTACATCAGGTTTTGCAGTTGTTCCACAGCGTGGAAGGGATATAGCTTTAAAGAGCCTGGCATCAACATTGATCACCTGATGTTCTTCCTAGATCAGCAGCATGGATGCTTCCCCACGCAATGTTTCTCCAGCACTCCAAAATGGAGAAAAAGGTACATTATCTATTTTTCTTAAGATATGAAAAGATGTTTGTTGTAACCCTTTCTCTGGCAATGTGGGAGTCATAACTGAAGATCTGCATGGCATGTGGGATGTGCATCTTTTCCTTGAGGTGTTGGTATATGATGAGACCCTTCCTTACTGGGAACTGAAGACACTGGGTGCTTAAGTATATTCATCTTGTGGAGCTTATGTGTACGCTGATCAGTGCGGGTTGTTTTGCTCTGGGCATTCCTACCTGCTTTCTAAGTAAAAACTTCTTGAAAGTAGACACTGGTGATGGCTTAGCCTGAAGGCAAGCAATTTTGCTTCTGATAGCCATATAAAATGCTTTCCTTTGTCCTTAATCTTCTAGAGGATCGTTTTCTGACTACTTTATCAAGTCAGAGCTCCACAGGCTCCACGCATCTTCAGTTGCCCACTCCTCCAGAGGTTGTGTCTGAACAACTAACTGGTGCCAACACACTTTCTGAACAGGATACAACCAGTAGCTCAGAAGGTACAGTTCAGCTTTGGTCTTGTATTTGTTATTGTATTCGCAAGTGTATGAGATCTACTTTGAAAATGGCAAATATGGTAACTTTGTGGTCTACCACCTTGCTCCCAAATGTACAGTGTAAAGTTTGTGGGCAGACTGAATTTATCTCTGTTTCAGATGTGTTTGATGGACACTCACTGGGATCTACTGACAGCCAAGTGAAAGAGAAGTCTACTATGAAAGCTATTTTGGCTAACTTATTGCCTGGGAACAATTACAACCCTATTCCATTTCCCTTGTAAGTACTGCATAATACATATGATGTACGAACAAGTAGCCTGGTAAAACTGTAGACAGAGCTATGCGTGCTTTTTTTGCTTTGTATATAATTTAAGTCATTACTGGGTTTGCATCCAAATAAGCTGATCTTCTGCAAGACAAGAAATTTTCCTTTCCTAAGTGTTTGTAGGTTGCCCCCTTTTCTTATTAGTGACGCAATCCTTCTTCTATTATACCCTTGTAGAATCGTGGGCTCTGCCCACTAGGTCACATCCCACTGCCCAACGCAAAGCTCAAACCTATGGTCCTGACCCTTTTATCAGATTCTCTTTTTTCTAGTAGGCATGCCACTCCAGAAGTCTTTTAAGAGGGGAAAGAGAGGTGCTTTCTAACTTGCTTCAGGGAGGGAACAGAAGTGTCCTTCTGTAATAAAGACTTACTAAAGCTACATGCCTGCTTCTTCTTTTTGCTTCCAGACCTCTCCCAAGGGTTGGACTCAAATGGGCATTGTCTGGGTGTAGGTCAGGTTCAGTGGCTGCTGCATGTGCCCTCAAGTCCCTCTCACGTGAAAATGAGCAGGCTGGAAAGTTTTTTCAGCTACTCTGTCTGTATGTGTTGTAGTGTTTCTTGTTTGACATGAACCTAATGTTTGGCAGCCTAAGTTTAAAATCTGACTTCTACCCTTGGGTAGCAGTGGAGGTCACGGGCTAGTAAGGTAAAAGTTAAATGACAGAATCTTATAGGGAAGTTAAAGAAAATCTGGTGGAAACTCAGGAGGCTTTGGGGAGGTTTCTGAAATTTTTTTTTTGCCTCCTAACTTCACTTTGCAGACTATCCTGTAGGACAGTTAAAGCAAACTGGCAGGTTTTAGTGCCAATAGAAACAGTGGCTGCTAAACAGAAATAGACTTTAACTTAGAGCTGGTCCTCTGATACTAGAAGCTTGCTTGACATGGTGATTGCTCTAACACATTACCAGTCAGATTTAACCACACAGCTAGCTATGCGTGCGCCTCTTGGGAGACGCTGATCTGGAACGCTTTGGCTCCGTGCTAAAACTTGCAGCTTGTGCCTAGAGTGCAGTGAAGAGATTGGGTTTTGGCCAAAAATTAACCTTTTCATAAACTTCTGTGCTCTGCTAATAGTCTCTGTATTCCATTTTCATCCAGTGACCCAGATAAGCACTACCTAATGTACGAGCATGAGCGCGTACCTATTGCAGTCTGTGAGAAAGAACCAAGCTCCATCATAGCTTTTGCTCTCAGGTACTGGTTTTACTTACTCTTTATCTGAAATGTTATATTATGGAACTTTTCTGTGCAGGGAATACTTAAATCCTAGTGGGAGGAAACAAGCATGACAGTTCAATCACTCAGCTGCTTTGAGAGTTTCTGACAGAGCTGAAGTTGTCTACTTATACTGCTGAGATATGGAATGTAGGTTTTCCAGCTTTCAGATGGATTTCAGGCTTTTTCTACCTGCAAACAAATGATTTAATTATGGTGTTCTGTTGAAGCTAATGGTGATAGAAGAAGAAATAAATGCAGTGAAATAAAGTGAATGAAGTTAGCTCAATTCTCTGGTGTGGAGACAGTGCAACTGAACTAAGGAAACTGACTATTTGTAAAACAATCTCTCCCTTGCCTGCCTTCAGTTACAGCAGCTCCTGCTACTGCTCAGCTCTGCAAACCAGCTACTTCTGTAAACCTTGGAGCTTTCTTGGCACCAGGCAATAGACTTTGAGTAGCTCATTCTTAAACTGCAGAAGCAACAATGTTGAAATTTTTCCCACAGTACGATCTGAAGCAGCAGCTGTCATAAAGGAAATAATCCTAACTGTAAGGAAAAGTAATGGAAGCATTTCCTACTGTAGGTTTGTTTGCTGTCTCTGAACTGAATCTTTAAATTGGTTAGCAAGGTTTCCCAGAGAAAAACTTTTACTTATTTATTTTCATTATCTTTTTCTCCTTCAGTTGCAAGGAATATAGAAATGCCCTTGATGAGTTGTCCAAAGCATCTCCAAAAAACGGTACTGAAGAAGGACTACAGGCAAACAGGTTAGATGTAGGGACTACATTAAATGGAGGAAACTATAGTAACAAAGCAGTTGTTGTGAAGCAGCCACAGTGAGGACCTAGAGAATATGCCACTGTTAGGATCTCTGCATTCTGATTGGAATCTGGCTCTGCTGGCTCACTCACCTGTCCCTTGACCACACGTGTGATAGGAAGCACTGGCCTTGTTTAACTTGCCTGTGATGATGGAAGCAACTGTTGCTAAGGAGCTCTAAGAGGTTTTGTCAGAGAGGAGAAAATGAACAACTCTGAGGAGTTCTGTATTGTCACAACTTCACACTGTATCCTTTTCCCTTAGCAGCATGTGCTGCTAGGCATGGAGGAGAAATAACTAGAATCTTAGTATCACCAAGATTGAAAAAGATCTCCAAGATCATCCGGTCCAGCTGTCCACCTATCATCAGAATTTTCCACTGGACCATGTCTCTCAGTAGAGCATCTGAATGTTTCTTGAACACCTCCAGGGCTGGGAGCCCTGGACAGCCTATTCTGACTGACTTGATTTCCTAGTGTCCAATCTGAATCTCCCCTGCACAACTTGAGGCTCTTCCCTCACGTCCTATTGCTAGTTGCGTGGGAGAGCAGGCTGACCCCCACCTTGTCACAACTCCCTTCCCTTTACAATGGGAGTAAAGCAGTAGTGTCTCAGCTGTTTGTTGCCCTTACTATGACATTTTTCCTTTCAGTACATCAGATGGCAAACCAAAGAGTGGTAGTCCTGTGCGCCTGCCTGAGGCTAACATGGGTCCTTCAAATCGTGCTGCTGAAGTGGAACAACGTAAGACATTTTCAAAGTCCTGTATATGATATATTGATTTCAGACTTCAGTCTATTCAATCTGTTTGAACTCTTCTGAAAGTTGTTATAACAGAGGAAATGCGGTCTAAGTACCATCGTCTTGTTCCAGCTGGGCTTGCTGAGTTTTGTCCTATTTAAATTGTGACTTGTCTTGCAATCAACTTGATGTAGAACATACTGTATTTTTTTATAAGTCTCTGTTCATAATAGCTTTCTCTGATTCTTAAGAGATAATGTTACCATCCTATGCTTTAATGTGTTATTACTATATAATGGCACATAATTTATTCTTGGGCTGAACATATGCAGTGGGGCATGATGCCTTTATGTTCTGATCTCTTCAGCTCTGCCTTGTTTAAAATGACACCAAATATTTTTAGATAGAGAGGCAGGTCCTCACACTTTTTGTGTGGCTTTGGGATGCCAGTGGGGTAGGCTTCTGTGTTGTACTCCTCCTCCACCATTTTCTTTATGGCTTGTGCTACAATTCCTGTTTTGAATTGTATTTGTTGCATTTGAAATGTTGATGCTTCAGACAAGCAAGCAGAAACAGTGGCTGGAGCTTGTATTTATTGTTCTTGTGAAGTGTGCTCTCTTGAATGACTCCATCATTCCACAGTGTCATTCAGGACATTAAATCTGCTGAACGGACAGTGGTTGCCTGAAGAATTGCAGGTTTGCTGGGTGATGTCACCCCTCCAGTTGGAACAATGAATGGAGAATGCTTGTCTGACTAAAGCCTTTATTAAACTGCTTCTGGTAATGCCAGTACCATCTTGTTTATTCTTTTTGCTGTAGCAAAGAAACCATCTAGTGTTTTGTCTTTCTTCCGTGGCACGGGAGGGAAGAGCCCAGACCTGTCTTCCCAGAAGAAGGAGACCTTACGTGGTGCTGACAGCGCTTATTACCAGGTTGGACAGATGGGTAAAGAGGGAGCGGAGAACCAAGGAGCAGAGCCACAAGGTACAAGGCTGCTGCTGTTGAATCCATCTTCTGTTTTGAAGTGCTAATTCTTCCAAACCTCATTCATACTTAAAAGGCCCAGAATACATTCCAGTTCATACTTCTTCAGTGGTTTTAACATTTTCCAACCCCAGAATGCATTGGAAACACATGACCAAAGCACAAAATGTAGATTTGTCCTATGGATTTTGCTTTGCTTTTTAAAAGAAATAGAAAAATAGGGCCTTTTAAACCCCTGTACCTAAAAGGATGTTGAGTAGTTTGAATATAAATTGATTTCAGTTTATCAGCCCATGATATCTGTTATTTTAGGAGTTATCTCTTCCTTGCTTCTTGTTTAACTTCCTGTTTATGCTCACGCTAAGCAAAGAGAGAAAACAAAGAGAAAACTTGTGTGCTAGGAATATCAGTATTCTAGCATACGTATAAGTGCTGCTATGCCTCTAATTCTGTAGTTGCCAATGTATTCTTGAAGAAAAGAAAGTAATTTTCTCATAATACAGATTTACAAGCATTGTCTTGCATAGCTCTTTAAATGATGATGATAATGAAGAAGTCCTTTATGCTTTCAGATGAGGTAGATGGAGGAGATGGACAGAAGAAACAGCTGGTGAATCCCCATGTGGAACTCCGTGAGTTTTACATAACAACTTGAAGTCTTAGCTGACAAAACTCTTTTTCCTTGTGCGTGTAATGGAAGTCTTCAGGTGGATTGCTCTATCTATAGCACTTCACATGTTTTTATTTTTTCTTACATAGCTGTATGAAAGAGGAGAGACAAAAAATTAATAACAAGGCAATACCATTTTTGCTTGCTCTAATCCACGTCTAATGCAAAAAAAAACCTGCATGATCTGCCTTCCTACTCCATTTGGCTTGTTGTCCCTTTGGTGTCTATTGGGGGCTAACCTAAAGGAGGTTGTTTTTTTTGTTTTTTTTTGTTTGTTTTTTCTTTTCCTGTGAGCCTCTAATTTAAATTGTATTAAGTGCCCAAGGTACAATAGGTATTGGAGCAGGCTGTTAAAGGAAGTAATATATATATATATATTTTTTGACACATTATTAAAATCTGCTTAAGTGTCATCTCAGGTAGTGAGATTGCATACTGTTATTGAGGAAGAAGTTTTCTTGCAGAGTTCTCAGATGCGAATGCCAAGTTCTACTGCAGGATTTATTATGCTGGCGAGTTTCACAAGATGCGTGAAGTGATACTGGGGAGCAGTGAAGAGGACTTCATCCGCTCCCTCTCTCACTCGATGCCCTGGCAGGCACGAGGTGGCAAATCTGGGGCTGCGTTCTATGTGACTGAAGGTAAAAACTGCTGCCTCGTCTTTTAGAATTAGAGGGTGTTGTTTAGAGCTGGTGATGATTAGTATGTTTTGTAATCTCTGATTACAGAGGATTGCTGACTGTTAAGTGGTCAGTCAGAATGGAAAGTTAAGTGGGTTGTTTGGAGTATTCAAAATCAGATTTTTTTTCTTGCTTTTTTCACTTTTTAAAATATAAAATTAACACGCAGGAGGAAAAAATGGAGTTCTATTTTCAGTATTGGCAGCTAGGGAGTCCAGTTGAGCGGAAAGGTGATATTCTGCTGAGTGGATTTCAGTAAACAAATTCAGTATACTTCAAGGAAAAATCTGATTATTGAAGATACTGTTTCTGATCATCTCACATGGCATACAATAAGATTTCCTTGTTTTCAACAGCATTTAATTTTAGTCTCTTGCTTAGAGGAAGTCTTGAATAGAAGGGTCTGTAGGCTGCTTTTATTGTATTCATATGAGGAGCCCATAACATTGAGTTAAATCAAACTTCGGCAGTCTCTTCTTTCTGGCTTACCAGTAGATTCAAATTTAGAGCATAGCCAGAAAAGAATTATAATATCTTTGGTAGCAAAGAGTTTAAGAGAATGGCAGTCTTTCAAACTATTTTAGTGGTATGGCTGTTCTAAAGAACTTGCAAAAAGTGTCACTCACAGTGTATCATCTGTCTGATATTAAAACAGATGATAGATTCATCTTGAAGCAGATGCCTCGCCTGGAAGTCCAGTCATTCCTTGACTTTGCTCCACACTACTTCACTTACATCACTAATGCAGTTCAGCAGAAGGTATTTTAAAAAGTGCTTTTATGTTTGGCTGTGTTCTGTATTTTATGGACCAGTAGATGTTCCCATTAACCATTTTTATTTAAGCAAAAAGAATATCTGTTGGGGGATATGAGTTGTATTAAGAACATGTTCAAGATGAAACATGGGAATTTCACAGGAGATTCTAAGCTGCAATGCACAGTGGTACTTCTGAGATCTGATTGCTTGCCTGCATGCAGAGATCTTACCCAGAGTCTTTCCTTAATCAGAAGCCCACAGCGCTGGCCAAAATCCTTGGGGTGTATCGAATTGGATATAAGAACTCTCAAAACAACACTGAAAAGAAACTGGATCTGCTTGTCATGGAAAACCTTTTCTATGGAAGGAAAATGGCTCAGGTAAGGCCATGTGTGACAGTTTCTGTTCCACTACAGTGCATGCTCTTTCTGGGCTGAGAGCAATAGCAGACTTAATAGTAATTATCTTTTGCATATGCTCTAACTTGGCAGTTAGTGCCTGTATTTATGTGATCCTCAGTAATTTGATGACTAGATTGGCTCTTTCAGATAGCTGTAGTACATATTTCAGTTGTTAAGTCTTATTTGTCCATGAATATCTGATGTCTGTGAGAGCCTTACCATTTTAATAAACAAAATGCTACAGTTTTTTGTAAAGCTTTTATGAAACTAACTAGTATTACCTCCTAATGTATTTAAAAGGGGAGCCTTATGTATGGTGACAGTGAAGGAAATTACGTACTAATGCTTTGAACTCACTGTTCTGTCTCTGAACCGTTTCATGCGTGTGATGAGGCCTTGAATTCAGCCTTGCTTTTTAGTTAAGGGAGAATGGCTTTTGTAAGGCAGTAGAGACCTTAAAGTGACAGGGACAGTCCTCTTCAAATACTAAGTTGGTGCTGAAAAGGAAACTGAAACAAATATTATCTTCCCTCTAGTGTCTGACATCAAATAGGGGGGTAGTTACAGAAATAAAGATTATGGACTTTTTCCCTGGAGTTAATCAAGTCTTGATCGGCCTATTCTAACTGGACATGCTTCAAGTAGAGCACTGGGCTAGAGACCTCCAGAGGTGTTTTCCAGTCGAGAAAGTGTTCTATGGTCTGTCTCTTGTCTTGTCAACCCATGTTAAGTGATTCATCAAGGAAGGACCCACCTCCTTTCTCCAGTGCCTTTTGCTGTTGTCAGCATTTGAGTATGTAAGCTGGCTAGGAAACTGAGTTTGCCCATATGATTTAAAAAAAAAAAAGGTACACGTTTTCCCTTAGGTTAGACTGAACACTGATGAAATTACTTGCCTAAAATCTGAGATTTAAAGTTGCAGAGCTTTTGTATAGATTTACGTGCTACTCTCCACTTAGGGAACTGTTTTTTTTTTTTGTTTTTTTTTTTTTTTTTTTTTGCTGTATTAAATCTTGTTTGCTACCTTCCCTGTAGTGAGAAGGGAAGAGCTACCTTGCTGTGATCTCTGCTCAAACACTGCAGTCAAGCATGTTCAAGTCTTTAATCTTACAGAAGAAAGTGGAAAATGTAATGCTGTTCTGCGTTTACAGGTTTTTGACTTAAAGGGCTCCCTCCGGAATAGGAATGTTAAAACAGACACAGGGAAAGAAAGCTGTGATGTCGTTCTATTGGATGAGAACCTTCTGAAGATGGTCCGTGACAACCCTTTGTACATCCGTTCCCACTGCAAGGCTGTGCTGAGAGCTTCTATACACAGTGATTCCCAGTTCCTCTCCAGCCACCTCATCATAGACTATTCCCTGCTGGTGGGTCGTGATGATACAAACAATGAGCTGGTTGTGGGGATTATTGGTAAGTTAAACGTTCCTTTTGCTTGCTTTCGTGAAACTCCTTTCTTCTGATTTCAGAAGAACTCTTAGAACTGTATCACCACCACCCAGATGTGTGTTAAGAAAGCTTGTCTCCCAGCTGCTGGAATACTGCCCTCATCTGTCATGAGTGTTCACAGTGAAGGCAGGAAGTTTTGTTTTTCTCCAGCTCTTGTACCATTTGTGCTGTCATTTGCGTTAGTGGAAATATATCTGGGAAACATTAGGAAGAATATATACATATGGGGCCTTACAGGTAGTGAGAAAACAATCAAGTTGATCTTTAACCTGCACTTTGACTCCAGTTGAAATGGAATTACCTGTGTGTCTTCATATGTGTTTAATCTTTAAAGTTAAGTTCAATAATATTTACGTATCTGTTTAAATAGTAACTTCAGTGGAAGAGATCTGAGTAGGAACAAACAGTGAGAAGTAGGGGTGGAAGAGGGAGATCAAATATTCTGAAATCACTCTCGATCTTGTAGCCTGACCGGGATAATGAGTGTCAAACAGGTAATTCCCTTGCCGCATCTTCTGACTTGTGTCTGGAAAGTAGAGTGCCATCTTTAGGCAAGTAAGGCAGTTGTGTGCAAAAATCTTGGAAGTGATTAACATCATCTTCACTTTTGCAGACCTGAGTGTTTGTATGCTTGTAATCATTAAGCACATTCTTCTTAAACTGGTTTGGAAACAGTTCTGATTTCTTTCTTTGCAGCCTTCTTTTCCAGAGTCATTTGTATTTCCAGTCCTCCATTTCATGAGGTGTTATCTCTTAGATTTGCAGGTGGCTGCATTGATGAGGAATGCTATTAGCCTAAATGGCTAGGTGTTCAAGTTTTGATGCTACTAGCAGCTGTAGAAAAGTAATGGAAGCTGGTACAGCAAAGTGAGGCTTCTGATATGTTTTTAGGATGAAAGTCAGCTAGTGGCTTTCTTTTTATTTTATTTATTTTTTTTTCTTCTTGTAGAAGTAGGACTTCTAAGCTGTCATATTCACCCCAGCCAAATAGAATGAATAATCTGAGAAGTGAAGCTGCTGTTAGGGTGAACACCTGAGTTCTTCTGGCTATGGAAGCCTACTGTATTTTCTTCTCTGTTAAAGGAGAAATTACGCGTTTTAGAACAACACTACTTGGGTTGTAGCAGGTATGGCATGTCTGTGTATGGATTTCTTTTTTTCTTACAACAGACTATATTCGCACTTTTACCTGGGACAAAAAACTTGAAATGGTGGTGAAGTCAACTGGCATCTTGGGGGGACAAGGTAAGGTTGTAATTAAAAGCTTTATTTTTGTTCTGTTTACTTTTTATTTAGCTGGAAGCTTCTAATAACTGTGCTAGTAAGACTGCAACTTCTTCCGTGCAAAATTACACTTTAAATTATGTGGAGCAGAGGAAGGAATAAAAGCTTTCAGAAAAAAATCATGTATTTGTCTGCTTTCATGATAGACTCTTGAGGTACTCTAATGCCTGAAAATGAGGTGTAGTCATCTACTTATCAGGCTGTTCTGTTTTGTTTCGTGGTTATCCAGTGCTCACAAAAACAGAGGTAGCAAATACTAGCAAAAAAGCCCTTTCTGCCCGGTTTCGGAAGAGATTGTCTGAGTCCAGAAAATCAAATATAGTCTGGGATTTTAGTTTGGACGAGTCCTTACCAAATGATTGACTGCTGCTACCCAGATTTTGAGGAGCTGATGAGTTTCCTATGTGGAAATGAGAGAAATATATTTCATGCACAATTTCCATGTATTGGTCACATGTTAATAGGAAAGTTGTTCAAGAAGGGGGAGGGAAACATTCACAATCTCACTGCTTGCAAGTCTGGAGAAGATAAGAGCATGTCCATACAGTGACATTTTTCCTGGGAGAAATTTGCATCTGTGCTGGAAAAACCTGTAAAGACATGTAAACTGGAGAGAAGGAAAAACAATCAGGGCTAGTGTGAAAAGCCTAGATAGCCCCTACAGCTCCACATCTCTCAGTTCATCATCAGCTAATCCAGATCTTGAATTCATTTGTTTCCCAAATGTTTAAGAAATAATAAAAAAAAAATCTAACCATACTTGTTGGTTCTGTGTACAGCATATATGCATCCCTGTGCCATGTGGTGCCGTAACTTCTTGTGAAAGCTGTTTGTACTGCAGTGTATGTTTGTAGCCCATTTCTAACTGCCTTTGACTTTTGCACATTAGGTAAGATGCCAACTGTGGTCTCCCCAGAACTGTACCGGACCAGGTTTTGTGAAGCTATGGACAAGTATTTCCTGATGGTGCCAGACCATTGGACAGGGCTTGGCCTGAATTGCTAAACTAAAGCCCATATTGGCAAAGCACAGGTGGACAATGGTGTGTTACAGGTCACTCTCTTTCTGTGGTCTGCCCAGCAGTAAGCAAGAGGATTCCACATCTGTACTGACCACACGCGTCATGTTGTAAGGTGTGAAATTTGCTTGTTGCACTTTAATCCTTTCTTGAAGGATGATGAGTGGGCCAGTCTCATCAAGGATTTAAGCTGTACGGTACCGCTGAAGAGCACTGATGAGAGACTTTCCCTCTGTCGGTAGGGAAGGTGGTGATATCTCCATGTATGAGCATTGAAACCAACGCTATCTCTTTCATGGTGGTACAGAAGTACATGATCTCTATAAGTCTTGCACTCCTTAATTGGTGTTGAGTATGAGTAGCTCATGTTTCTGTAGTGGATATGTGGTATTGCAAATGTGAAATAAGCACTCCTGCCCCATGCGGATGAGTGAAGGAAGAATCAAGTTAATTCTGAAGTTATGCTGTGGTTGCAGTGATCTGTAGTTGACCTGTTTAGGACCCAAGAATAACTTATGCGCGTGCTTTTTTTTTTTTTTTTTTTTTAAAGGCAGCTCCGCAGCTCTGATGCCGTTACTCTCTAAATCACTACAACTCGTAAGTTACAGTACTGCAGTACACATCTGTCTCTGTTGTAATTTGATTTTTAGCAGAATCCCATACAAATGATCAGCATATTGCAAACCTTGATATGTATCCTTTCAATCCTAAATAAGAAATTGATTTAAATGTCGCCCAACTCTTTGGAAACAGGTAACTAAAACTGTACCCTTTTATGTAAGAGCTCAGTTATGCTTATGAAGCTGGTATAACTGGTTAACTGGTTAACTGTTCCCTTAGCAGAAGGCACCAAATTGATGAAATGCATGCTACCTTACATCGACAACTTTCTCCTTAATGAAACCATTGTTTCTGGCAGATCACTTCAAATCCATTTCAGTTTCCAAAGCCTTTCAAACAATGAAACAATGCATTTACCTCATGATGGAATTTTGCCAGGAGAATGCTTTTCTTGTATTTGTGACGTGTTGTTGAGAATAAGCATCCCAATCTCATTTAACTGTGCCATTCCTATGTAAAACTTCTCTTCAGCAGTATTAGACTTTTTTTGCACCACTGAGATGATGAATGTAGTCTTCTGTAAAATGAAAAACCTGAACGAACAGTGTTTTCTATGTATGGTGGTTCAGATATGCAGAGACCTGAGAATCTCTGCATTATGACAATAAGTACTTCTTTCCATTTTTATTATTTTTTTTTACCTGTTTTTGTAGGTGGCAAACTTACTTTTTAGCTTCAGAATAATATAGGCCAGTAAATAAGAATTTATTTTTTTATGTGAGTTTGAGAGGCAAGAATAGTGTCCTTGGACTTCCACTCTCTGGTGGAAGGACTGACTTCAAACATGGAGTCTGGGACAGTGTAGCTCTTTATGAATTACTCATTCTGACCAATTAGTTGCCTGCTAATGCCATCTTCACTGTAACTGTGAGTCAAAATATGCATTTTATTCACTCTTCCTATTATGTTCAGTATTTTCTTCTGCAGCAGATGGTGGCAGTTCTGTTCAGGAGTGACATCTGGGCAGCACTGAAAGAAAATGACTGAGAACTGAGCTGTTGGATCTGAAAGCAACCAGTACAGTTCAGATCTGAGCTGCTAGGAGGCAACAGTCAGTTACATTGGAAGTCTTTCCCCTTCCCTGAACTGCATTGCAAAGCATTTCTAAACAATGAGCAAAGGTGCTGACCTTGAAGCAGCAGAAACGAAAGTATTCTCACTTCTCATCCCATCAGTTTCTGGGGATGTAGCGTGGAAAGCTGCAGTGATGTGTGCTGTGGAAAGATGACACAGTAGTGCTTGATTTCTCCGGCACAGAATCTCTCTAGTTCAATACAGTGCTCTGAGTGAAGATTACCTCTGGAATACATCTTGTCTCTTATATTGATATGCACTCCTGAGCTAGTTAGTTTTTTGTTGTAGGCCCTTGTGTGTAGTGAGGAATCAACCTATCCATCAGCTCAATTCTAATCATTTCTGTGGCTTTGAATGTTTGTCTATTGATGTGGAAGGAAGAGTGTGATATGTAGCCTGAATCTTTTCTGGTCTCCATTACAGTTTACGTGTGTTCTTTTTTCTTCCCCTACTAAAATTTACAGGGAAAAATTTGTCTTGTCTGAAATCTAAGGTGACCCAACCTTAGTCAGTATGTGCAGTGGCTGGTGGACCGTGAGTTTGGGCAGCGTCATGACATCTGCACTAAGCTGATGTAGAGCTGGGATGTGCTAGCTCTGTTTTGTCACCAATAACCCTTACTCAAGTGCTACGTAGATATTCTGTACTGCTTGTCCTCCAGAGTCTCAAGCAGCTGGCTGTAAAAACAACCTGGTCGTCTAATAGTGGCTACTGTTCTCCGGTACATGATTGAATGAGGCCATTGGCAGTGTATGGAATGAGAGAACCTTCCATTCTGGCCAGCTGTTTTGTAGCCTGTGAATGCAGAACCTGGATGTGTGAATTGCAGCCTTTTGGGATAGCAGTCATAGCAGTTGGAGGGGCTTGTAAGAATGATCTTGGTCTGGAATCAGTGGCTAGACTTTAGATCTAGTCATAGGTAAAATAGTAGTGTTAACTGGAACTGGGACATCTTTGGGTGGCACTTAACCTGAAGTGGTAAGCATTTCTAGTTCAAATCCCAGAAGCTGGACAGATCTCCCAAGATGTTCTCTTTTCAGAATAAGAATTGTCCTTGCATTTCACTTGCTATGAAGCTGGATTTCAAAGAAGAACAGTAGTTTTTGCAGAAGATATCTTTGAGACACCTCTTTGTTAGACCTGTGAACTTGTAGCATATGCAAGGATGTCCTAAGGGAACAGTCTGAGTGTTAAACAAGCCCTTTGATTAGAGTATTTCATTTCTTGTTAACACAAGTTTAGTATGTGTGTGTAAACAAAATCCAGTTGTAAATGCAAAGACTTCTGCAACCTTTCTGAGTTAGGCTGGCTGTTGTGTTTTGGTCTGTGACAGACATCTAAATCTTGTCCCACTCAGAAGTGGTAACTTGTCTACATGATGCTTCTAAGCAGCAAAATGTCTTGTGGTGACCCAGAGCTGCATTCTGTCCCCAGACACTCACATGAAGGACTCTTGCTGGTTAAGGAGCTCCACTGGAGTTACCTGTGGAATGAGTGGTCTGTCCTCTGTGAGAATGACCAGAACCAAACTAATCACTCGCTGGTAGGAGTCTGGACTATTCAGAGCACTTAATGTATCATAATGTATGTATTCCTAATCTACGTTGCTTCAACTGTATTTTATAAAATTGATGTACTAAACTATTTGAGAGTAACTACCTTGATAACTTGGAGAATCGAAATGTAATGTATATAGATAAAAATACAAATAAAGTGACTAAAATATATTTGGGTCCAATCCCTGTGATGTAGTGGTTATCTTTCTTACAGCATCCCTCTTTCCTGCTCACATGGCAAGGCCCGTGCTTGCTCAGTGTCAATTGCTCTGCTGAAGGTTTCTAGCTTTGCGTGCAGCACAAGCGTGCCTGAAATCTCTGCCTTGTAGTTTGACTATTCTGATGAAGCAGGCATTGACTATTCTGGTGATCTGCGGGCAGCTCTCCAGCTCAGCGTTGATAAAACGTGCAAGTAACCTGTTGTACGCTTCTCCTGCCTTTCCTCTTTGCAGCCGCTTTCAACAGCGCTGTGTGAGAGAGCATTTTACCCAGAAGGTGGCGGTGTTTCAATGACCCAATTCTTCCAAGAGGCAGATCTTCAGAAAACGTCTCCAGGTATTTATGCAGTTTTCTCAGAAGTGGATAAGGTTAAACTTTCTCGGATTATTATTTTAAAAGTGAAATGACTTGCCTTAATTGCTTCATATTGTTAGTACATAGTAACTTTCTTTCTTTAAAGCTAAAAATGATGTGCAGTTAAATCTGGGAGGGGGACTTGCTGGTTCCTAGACAATATTAAAAATTAAAATGTAAGGAATACCCCTGCAGTATGTGCCATCTCTGCTTTTGCCAGATGAGTCTCAGTTTTATCTGCTACTGTATGAATCTATCAGAAGCAGGATGGGGATGTCCATCAGTATGGAAGATTTGGTTAGAAGAAAACTGAGTTACTTATATCTTAGGTAGATCTGTGAAACTGATGCAGTTTGTTTGGTGAGATGCCGTGTATTTATTATGCAGTGTTCCACAGCTTCTCTCCCAGGAGAAGCCAGCTGTGGTGGAACAGAGGCTTTTTGTTGTGTGGGAGTGTAACATGCTGCTCAGTTAATTCATTGGGAACTTGCCACTTATTGAAAACTTAACATGTCAGCATCACTGTCTATGTTATGAAGATTGGCAGCAATTTCCTGGTAATGCAAACAGCGCTGAGGTATCGCTAGTTTGCCTTACAGCATTAGTCCTGAAGGTGTGCGCTCACATACTGAGTGTGTTTTGGTTTTTAATGTAATCATGATCCCGATTAGTTTGTATTCAAGTCACAAATTTTTCCTTTTTTTGACTGTGACTGAGTTTTGATTTAGATGATTTGATTTAGATGTGGGAAGACCAACTTGAATAAAAACAAATGCAAGTCTTCTCTTTCTAGCTAGTATATTACGGAAGTCCCAGGGACTGTAGGTAACCCTGACTGAGGAACTTTTGAATTTCTCAGAATGACTAGAATATTTTGCTTGTATCTATCTCTTGCTGCCTTCTGTATATAATAAATTACTTGTGGCTGAACGTATTTACAAATTTACTAAGTACTGTCCTGTGAATATTATGAAGTCAAATGTAAATCCACAGCAGAGAGACAAGTTTGGCATTCTGAGCAGCACTTTATTGAGAAAACAAAGTATTTCCATGTGTAACTCCTATTGACTTCAGTAATTTTTGTCAGTTCAGAAGCTATGAAAAATAGTACTCTTCTAAAGAACAGAATTTACACTATCATGTATGAGGAGACATTCTACTGTACAGTGTTCATTATTAAATTAAAAAGGCACTTGCTTTCCTGTTTGCCAAAAGATTTCAAACAAAAAACAAACCCAAAACATCTTTGCAGAGAAAGGGAAAGTGGCAATACCAAAAAAGTTAAATACGTCCACAGAATACATTCATATGTAAAAAGACAACAGTAATGTTATGACCTAATAACTTAAACAGATGCTTCTTTAGCATAATTCAAATTCTGAAAGTTGATGTTTGGAAACACAGTTGAGTCCTTGAATTTTTTATTTTTAATTATTAAAAAAAAAAACAAAAAAAACAACACAGCAGAACCCCCAAACCTCAAAGCCAAACAAGAGCTCTTCAAAGTTATGTTCAGCCTGGCACCACCAGTGCCACAGTATCATAATGTGTCCAAGGGCAGGCATGCTGTGTATCAGTGAACCTGTCCTGCTACCCCTTCCTGATTTAACTTTTTCTTAGCAGTTTACCAGACAATAACACATACTTAAAGCGGAGTAATCTCGTCTTTCAACTAGACAATCCCTCATTGTGTTTCTGCATTGCAGAGTGGTTTGAGAGCATTTTCAGCCATAGGCTGAGTGCCACATCCATGAGTGTTCAGAAAGAGCCAAAGTAATGAATGGGTAGGCAAAAGCAATACAGTCCACAGTTCTGGCCATCTCCACTGGCTGAGTAGAAGAAGATAGTTGGTTCATCAGAAGAGAAACACGCACAGTTCAGCTGCAGAAACAGTGAATGCCTCCCCCCAAACTGAAATGCTTTCATCTTCCCCCGGTTCAACAGAATTCATATAGACAGTCACGTGTGCCCACGAACTCAAACTAGTTTTCATTTCATTTATCCTGTCACGAATGTAACTGGCTTTATATTTCCTTATGGTGCATCTTCTATATTCACAGCTTTGGAGTATCTTGAGTTCTATCTACCTCCAGTAGATACCTCCAGTACCAGTTAGAGCTCATCCTAGTGACAAGAAAGGAAAGAGTTAAGGTGTACTAGAAGTGCAAAAATCATCCAGATTATTTTTTTTTTACTTGTATTATTTGATAAGTTTCCCTCTCTCTGTTTTGAGATAAGATCTGTTTTGATCTCACAGAATGATAATGAGATACAGTAATAAGAACAACTTATCTATTTAAGAAATGCTTGTCCAACTGATATTTTGGCGTTATACACAACTGTTAAGAAGTACCTTCTGAGTTAAAAATGTCAATTCCAGTCTTAAACTCAGCTTCTACATTTTTGGTGCCTGCTTTCTAAATCTAGTCTAGGGATCACAGTTAAGAACACAGTGCATCTCAATCTTTCTTCAATGCAGCTGTCCTGTCCCATGAATACCATAAATTCTGCTGAGCCTTGACAAAGCTGGTATCAGAGAATACTGCTGTTGCAGTATCCACGGGTGTGAAAAACTGAATAGGTAACTGTGACCAAAACAAGACCACGAGTAAAGCGTGCCTGGTGCTACCTGAAGATAGAAGGTTTTTAACACTTCATGGACAAAGAGCAAATATTAGCAAGTCTATTCTTTAAAATAAGGTATCTTGCAGAAGGCACCAGAATTAAGAATGCTTACCTTATTCCTAGATTTTTTTCTTTTTCCTTTATTTTGAATTGCTTCTAATTTTTCAGTCAAGATGTCAGCAATGCCTTTTGCGTCTCTGCTGTCTATATATTCCCCAAGAATACTTTTCTTTAAAAATGAAAAAGAGGAAAATAATCTAAAAAATTGTTACATTACCCATGCACTACACTGAATAGGAAATTTCCTTACTTCTAGATAAAATTCCAGAGGAGTGGAAGGAGGCAGACAGTGGAGCTCTGGTAGGTTAATTTATGATTTCATGATATGTTTTTAACTTTATTTTAACAATGCTAATTCTTAGTTGCAGTAAGAACCACTTCTAGGTACAGTTTTTAGAACTACATAAACTTGGTCATTTAGGTTAAGGAAATTTGAAACAGTTGTTTGCCATTTTCTCACATTCATTCAGCTGGGTATTTAATGTTGTCAACATTAAAAAAGTCTGCAAGTTTTGATAGGTTTCTTGGATGTTGATTATGAGGTAGGTCACTATTTGGAAACCTGAGAAGCCATTACTCTTAACCCAGTAAAGTCTTATTGAATTTGATGGAATTGTGAGAGTAAGGATTTCTAGCATTTTGTTGTAAGAGATGGAGATAAAAAAAAAAGTACAGTTGAGTTGGCTTAAATATCAATATACATTGAAATACTTCTGTTTAAGATTAATTAACACACCTAAAGAAGACTGCAATTTTCTTGAAATGTAATAGTCAATTGCTTGTACAAGAATAAAGGCAGTTTCCTAGAACTGTCTGAGCACTTCAGTTCTTAAAAAATTATTATTACTAATCTGTTAATAGATATTAGTCTTACTCCTCTGTAATTGAAGTAGTTTATAAAGGCTTAAGATGGAAAACAAGTATTTTCTATCAATTTTCTATCTTATAAGTCAAAATTACAATGAAACACTAATGATTGCAGTGGAAGTGCATTTCCCTTTAGCCACAATGATAATGCCCACATTTGACTTTGAGAGACACTTCAGTAGCTAATGCTAGAAGTGGTTTACAAAATTGTTTTGTCACTTGAGTCTCCTGCTCAGTTAAACCCCAGATCTGATTAAGTCTCTAGTTTAGCTGCTGGTCGGTTAATTTGCAACTTATTATTTTTTCAGTAACACTTCACTACTGTAACTTGGGTATTAGTAGAATCAATTACAATTTTATTTCTTGAATATCTAAATTGTGTGCTTCAGTGTTACAGAAATAGTCTAAGTTTAATGTGAAATGAGATACTGCTACGACCGGCACCTGCCCAGCAGTGTACACAAAGGGAGACACTTTACCTTTGTTCCTTGGTAGGGGTAAAACTTAACAGTAGGGTAGGCTCTGATATCAGCGCTTTGGCAGGTCTGACCGTATGCCTGACAGTCTACTTTTCCAGCTTTTACTTTTCCTTTAATGGCCTAAAAAGAAATACTTTTATTAGAAACGAGCTTCAAGTTTCCATGTCTGACTATAAGCAGATAATTTGAATGAGCCAGCGGTGCAGCTAAAAAATAAGCAAGAGAGGCTGCTCAAATCTTTTAAATAACTCATAGTCACTCGCTTCAGTCTCAGCGTCACACAGCCTTTATCAAAGTTGCCATGTGTTCTGCAGAGCACACGCACTTGAATTCAGAGCACAGCACACCACAGTTCCAAGGGGCTCCCAGTCATGGATTGAAGTTTGTCTAAAGGAGGGCCTGCGTGCATGTTTTTGTACAAGGGCCAATACCCACTGACAAAGGGGACCCAAAGGGCAGACTTCTACTGACAGTGCATCTCATATCCCAGTTACTATGAAAAGATGGTTAGTGAGGTTTTGATTTGAAATTACAGCAGACTAGTGTGAAAATAGGGAACACCTGACTTAAAAATGGAAACAAGTCTTCTCTCACTATCACGAGGGTAAAATGCTCTATTAATTTTTTTCTCTGTACAAGGACAGTAACTGCCTATCTGTAAGATAATAAAAAAGATCTACAGTGAATAATGAACCAAGACAGCTATTTAAAAACTGAAATATTAAAGGCTTTCTCCCCTGTAGCTAGAAAGAAGTATGTGATTTTTGGATAACTGCCTAAAAATAGTGTGTTGGTCAATGATCCTGAGTATTATAACCACTACTACTAGAAAAAGAGCAATCTGCTAGTATAATGAAAAGCCTACCCTTGCAAGGATCTCAAATTCAGGAGCAAAATTTTGGCAAGGTCCACACCAGGGGGCATAAAAATCAATGACCCAGTGATCTTTTCCATTCAGAACTTTTTCTGTAAAACTCTGAGGAGTCAGGTTTATGGACACTTGTGGCAAATACCTGAGGAAAGGAAGAACAACAGTCATCATCTGTTTGGTGTCTCAAACACATATGCAAGTTCCACTTAAGTGCAAGAAAAGTAGTTTGGAAATCTCTACTTTATGTGTTGTACTATTAAGGAATCCCTTCTTAGAAGTTGTAGACAAAAGAATACAGTTTTTAGGAAATGGGAAGACAGGAGCAATATTTCTCCATGCTTTTAAAAGCTTGATTTAAAAGATGTGGTAACATTAGAATCTTAAATTAAGCATTACATACGTGTCAGTGTTTTCTAGTTCTTGATTTACATACAGTTTGGATATAAAATTCTAGAAAAACACAACTCTATGTAACTTGGTTGCGAAGTTCAATGCTGTCAACTTACCCTAATGCCCAGCCTCTCAGTGAATATGAATCTCTGTGCCACCCGTTGTAGCTACTGTAAGAAGAAAGCAAAAAGCTGGTTACACCTTGGCTTTTTGTTTAGAAAAGAAACATATGTTTCTTTTCGTTAAGTGGATGATGAAATAACGAACCTTAAAGCATGCATATATTTCAGAATATATTTTTGCCTTGCTTTCAATTCTGAAAACAAAGGTCTTGTTATTCAAAGGCAGAGAATTAAGGAGTAGTAGAACAAAGAAAATACAACAATTCTATAGCAAGAGAGTGAGAAACACGCTGGGGAGCGTATGAGCTTTGCTAGCTGAAAGTCTGGATGATCTTTAGTACCAACTCTAGAACTGCAGACATTACGAAACATAAGAATTCAATTGAAAAACCTTTATTTTCACTGATACTCCTTTATTACAATTAAACTACTGTCACTTATGTTTCCCTCGATTTAACAGTAGAAAATCAAGGCAAGGCAAGATCTTTGACAAAGACTTATTATATGGACTGTCAAGGCACTGTTTAGTTTGAAATTCCAGAAGAAGTTTAGTATCAATTTACAGCTTCATGAAGTATTTATCAGTGTAGAGGAACCTGTTGAAAATCTGACCGTTTTCAGGTTAACTCTGTTTAAAGACGCATCATATTTTTGCAGGAAAAAATAACAATTATGAATTTGGCAAGTAATATCTACCACTTTCTTTTCCAAATAAGAAATAAAAACCTGTGTTTAGGAGAAGCTTTGTCCAGAAGAATCAAAAGTAAGCAATCCCGTGATGAAAGCTACCAAAACCAAGCCTGCTACTAAGCATTAGAATGAAGCACTAGTTTGTTATCTGCCAGCATTTTCTCAGCTTTCCAGTTTGTAAAAGAATAAGTGAGCTATCTGATATTTCAGATGTGGCATTTACCTCCTGAAATCCCCAGCTCTTGACACAATACTGTGAAACAAAGGGGACAAGCTCTTTGGCTGCATTTCGTTTCCCTTAGAATTTCTGGTGGTGTTAATGAGTAACGCGTCCATACTAATGATACAGTGAATGAGATGATGTACAAAGACAATCTTTGCAATGATGCAAAGGATGGTCAGGACACATTTACAGCATACTGTTCTTTGAAGCTGCAACTAATTAAGCCTATTAATATTTTTAGATTCGACGATTTACATCTACTTTAACAGGCTACTGACCTTAAAACTGGCCGCTGCTAAACAAGAAAGAAAAAGCCACGTTCCTGAGTTTCAGTTCAACCTACTGAAATGCGACAGCAGATTAAAATGGCAGGTGTTTGAAGCCAGCAATGACTGGGATGAAAATATTATAGAAGCCTATTTTAATAGCTTTTAATGAAAATTTTTCCATGCATCAGAACGTGTGACTGTAGTGTGCAATCACTTTCTAAACTGAGGTACTTACTAATACTGATGGGCTGTGCTTGATTTTTGAGGAAAGAGTCTTATTTCAGGATATCCCCGAACATTTTCTTGGTGACAGAAGGAGTAAAATTTTTGACAGTCCACGCTGCCAACACTGATTAATCCATTTAACATCTAGGAAAAGAAACAATCAAACATGCTAATTGATAATACTGCTGTCTCAGAATTGATGTCTGAATTGCTTGAATTAACTGAGCTGAAGAACAAAACCAACCAAGGTGATTCAAGGCTTTCTTCTTTCCTTTGAATGGCTCACTGGTATCTACTGGGAGCCAGCCATCCAGCTGTGCTGCTAGCAGCCAGTATCATTTTAGTGTAAGGTGTGATGTATGTGGCTTACAAGGCACCTGTCTTGGCTTAAAAGGAACACGCAAGGGGTGGCTATTGGGTATGGCTACCATGTTTCATATCTCAGGCTCAGCAGTTAAGACAGATCCCAGTACACTGTAGCTATGCTATGGGTTTCACAGCTTGCAAGTGTCTTAGACATGCTGAATTTGTTGCGAAGGCCCAAACCCACCTAGCAAGGGTTAGAGTGTATTCTGTAGGCCTTGTGATACTTCACAGATGTTTGATGCAGAGCTTCAGATAGAACTCCTAGTCCAGGCTAGTTTAAAGAATCTGAAAGTCACAGGCTAGCTTTCAAATCCCTCTTGTTTTGCCCAAAGTTTCTACTTTGGATTCCTAAAAAATGTCCAAGAAAGCTCAGATGACTGTTGGTGATTGTGGTACTACCTTTGCAAATGAGAACACTAATGGCCTTGCAAAAGAAAAATATCCTCCCATACCCAATTAGTGTGAGTGGGAAGGATGTGAAATTCAGTTAACTGATCATCACCCTTAAAGAGTGCTGAATTTAACATTTATTTACTTTCAGTAAAGAAACAAAATCTCTGGAAAAAATATCTTGCAAGGACAAGAATTAATTAAGATATGTAAGACTAAATTCCTCTAATCTTAAGTCAAAACCAGAGCTTTCACCAAGGTCTAGGTGCCATCTTAGAAGTAACTAATGGTCATAGAGAATAACTGTGAATAAAGGGGTAAATTATTGCAATTAATTCTTACCCACTTTATAGATAAATCTTTAATTTTTCAGATTTTATTTTAAACAAATACAGAGCTGTTATCTCTGTCAGGTGTTAAGTATTAAAGTTCCTCACAGCTTTGAAAACACACCTTTTAACAGCATTAACAGGAAGCACTGGATTACAGAGTTAATGTGCTGAAAAACATACAAAAAGCTTAGTATCTGGAGCAGTGTAGAACTGCTAAGTATGAATTCCTGTTTTGTTCATAATATTAATCACTAGACTTTTTCAGCACACAAATTTAAGACAGCAGTAACTCCACAGAATGAAACATAAAAGCAGAACAACACTTGAATGTCACTTACCCTGGCCATTTTTTTCCATTCTGGCATTAAAGCCTGACAAGGTCCACACCATGGAGCATAGAAATCAACCATCCAGATTTCCTCTCGTTTTCTTCTCTCAACTAATTCTACAAATGTCTCTGGTGTTAGGGAGATCACGGATGGATTCCTAAGATCCTATGGCAAAGGCAGTTTATGGACATGTACTTTGCAATTAGAAGTTGTCCTGTTCCAGCTATCATCCCACACTGACTGTATTAAGCTCTGGGAATATTCCTCTTTTATTCAAAATTACCCATTCTATGAGGTAGATGTCATTACCACTGTTCTGCAGATTGGAAAGTATCTTCAGCTATTTGCTACTGATTTGAAAGAAATAAGTTGACAGAGTAGGGAAATAAATCTACTAAGTTTCAAGTCCCAGACTGACGCTTGTTGTATCACTTGTTGATGAAGGTTTTTTTCCATCCCCAGTCTTACTAGTCTAATGAAAACCAAAATAAATCTTGGTTCTCCAACAAATTGTTTGTGGATAAGCTGCAAACACAGCATGATCCCAACCAGGATTATAACTTACGAACCTCTATAAACTCCAAGATCTGCTCAGCAGAGTGATGGCCTTCATATTCATGAACGTCAGACTGATTGAACACAACAGTTGTTGGATAAGCTCGAATGTTGTGCTAACAAAACACAGTAAGAAGGTACAAGGAATTATTAGGTGTCCTGTACATTCCTTTAACTGCCATTAGTACTGGTATCTCCCAGCTGCTCATCTGTCCTTTTTGTGCTACACAACCGCTTAAACTTACAAGTGGAGTGGAGTTTGAAACCTGTATAGAAAAAATGCCAGTTGTGTTCATATGGCAGTTTGTACTGAATTGGAAAGCTAGTCAGCAGTTCTTTTGCCATCCTTCACAAAACAGAAGTTAATCCACAGGCTTTCTAAACCTTAACTTAAAGGCTATCTTAGTCTCAGGTGAAGACCTGTGCCATATGAGGATCTGTACTATCTAACATTGAATGCAGATGCTTTCAAAATCAGAGTTCTTCAGTAGAATACACCTAAACATGACTTAAAAGCTTTCCCTTTTTTGAACAGCTTTAAGTGTTTTTAGATGTCCACACTTCTAATACAGATAGAAAGCTTCTAACAGAAAAAGCTCTTTTAAACAATAAGATGTGCTGATGCCTGCTAAAATGTAGCACTTGCGAGAATTCAGGGAGAGTAATTCCATTTTTTACCCAGATAAGATAACTGAAGCAAAACTAAGCAAATTCAAATATGGAGAAAGAGCCAAGCTTTTTAGAACACATAAACACCGTATTGTTACATACACATAAAAAGAAAATAACTATCAAACATAAGTTCTTGCAGCTTACCATGTTACAAAGCCCCTCATGGACTGTGCAGTCTAGTGTTCCAAATTTAAGCTGACCATAAAGATGTTTTGATGCTTTTCTCAGCTCCGGTAACAGAGCTCGACAGGGAGGACACCACTGGAAAACAAAATGCAAATGAAGGCAATTGCTTGGCCCTGCAGCTGGCTCTCAGGAGAACATCAGCTATTTGAAAAGAATAATATGCTGCTTTGGCAACAAGCTGCACTAAAAATAACAATCCGTGCAATCTAGGAAATACTGCTGCCAAGGAATGAGAAATTATTGTACTGTCCCGTAATGTTGAAGCACACCTTCAAGACACTGATAGCATTTTGTTACATAATTACATAACACTTTTTAAAAAGGGTCATGTAGATACTAAATATTTACCGGTGCAAAGAAATCCACAAGCCAGGGTTCCTTTTCTTTACCAGGAAAATTCTGGGGTCCCAGTGTGATAACATGAGAGTTGACGCTTTCTTTGGCAAATGCAACAATGTCATACAAGATCTTCTTTCCTTCAAAGAACAATGTAGAAAGGAAATCATTTTACCTTATGAAAGATCTCTTGATATCGTGTTGTTAGAAATATTGGATGGATGTGACTTCTGGCAAAAGTTGTGTGTGCCATCAGCCTTGTAAATAGCAAATCAAAATTCAGAAAAATATATGCATTGTAGTCCAATATATTTCTCTGGCCCTAGTTATAATTTATGCCATTATGAAAAGATGTAGAAATGCTGCATGTGCACAACCTCTTCTTGGCTTTTCTGCAGTAGCAATTGCAGATAGGGAAAAACCTTATATACTGAGAGCACACACGAGATGCATGGGACCATCCTTCCCTATCAGATGTGGTTCATCTTTTCCAGGTGGTCAAAAAATTTTCTTCTCTCTTCTTTAAGATTACAGTGCTTAGGTTTTGACTGATTTCTTGGCAAGCTGTTTCTAGTAGCTGAGAGGCTGAAGACTCAGAACCTCATTATGCATAATTGCCTTGTACTGCATTCTGGATCAAACAACACCAGTTATTGCTAGCTACAGTTTTGTACCATTGTACATTATTTTTTACATTGTACCATTTTTTACATGGTACATTGTACCACTATTTTTTAATCCTTTTAGAGGTACACAGTACTACAGTTACAATCCTTCATGGAACCAAACCAAACGAACATAAGTGGCGAAGTCTTAATACAGACTTTCTTGAACTGAAATTAGTTAAGGAATTTGTTTTAAGTGCAGTGACATGATATCAAATCCAAGTTTTTCAAGTGGCAGCACTGTAAAGCTGGCAGGTTAAGTCTCAAGGAAGTGTGTTCCTTGCAGCACTCTTTGGCTGTCCTACCCAAAACGTACGCTGTCTTGGTTAGCTTCAGAGATTTCATTTGTATGTAAACATATTGGTGACTTTCATATAGACAAGATAGAAAAGGCAAAGTACATCTCTTAGTATCTGGTGCCTCCTTCTGGGAGAGGAGAGATAAAAGAAAAGTCTATGCACGGTTACCTTAATGTCAGAGACAAAAAGCAAATATTAAGACTACAGAACTGCTCCTTTAATAAAGAAGAGCAGTTTGCCAAACGTGGCATCATCTTAAAGTGGTTATGTAATGACCTGGTCTTGCCAAAGCGTCCCTTACCATGATGAATTTCGTAATCTTCAATTCCTTTTCCTTTGAACACTGCTAGACATGGCTGATACACATATAGTTTGTTGCAGATGGTTGGAGAGGAAAGACAGTCAAACTTGCCAACCTATTTAACAGAGTGCCATTTTAATTAAGGCATCCAAATTTATACAGACTAACATTCTGGAATGCGGTAAAAATAGGATAAATTCATAATAAAAGCAGTAAAAACATGGACAACCAGTAGCCTTTTTAAAAATAACAGCTCTTAAGACAATCTTACATCTATGATGTTTGAGCAAAACTGTCACAGCTATATTAGGTTGTTTTGCTAATTTCAAATTAGAAGGTCAAAATAGAATGACACCAAAAAGAATCTTACTTTCTTCAAGGAAGCAGAAAGACTCCTGAAATAAATTATGCTAGAATCCTTCTAGCATTGCAATGATTTTTTGAAATCCACAGCTTATAGAGTAACGCAATCCACGTGTCTTTAGTACAAAGATTGAATCTGGTTTCTCTTTGCTAAGATGACTTTCAAGATAACAATAGAGATTTTTGAATAATACAGTTTTGCGTACATCAATTTCATGTTGAAGCTTTAACTTTTGATTGTTAACTGAATGAGATCTGCAGCAGTATTTGCTGTGAGGGAAAAGATGTAAAATACAATCTTTGCTAATTACTTCTAAATTATTTAGATAGGATGGAAAACTTCACCACTTGCTTTAATTTAAAAACGTCACTACTCATCTACCATACTAACAGCATCTCTCTTTGGTAGCAGAGGTGGCAGTAGCAAATCGTAAGGACCAACTTGTTCTCTGAATACAAACGAAAGCCAGTGCTGGGTAAGTGAGCACTCTTACCTGAATGTGTTCATCTTTAAGTAAAAATTTCAGTTTCTTAAATTCCTGTACGCTTGATTTGTCATTTTCCCCAAACTGGAAGAAAAGCAGCCATCTGTGGTGAGCTAGATGGTCCTTTCAACGGGGGGAAAAGAAACCAAACACCATTATTCCTCACTTATACCAATTTACAGATTCTTTGTTTTATGGAAAGATGATGCCCAATTATTCAGTCGATCTCTACATGACCTCTTCCCACACTCAAGTTTTTTTCAATTAGTTCTCCACCAAACTTCTTTCTACTAAATCATAAGTGACAAGAGGCAAAGAAATCTGAAAACATGATCGCTACATGTTACTCTCTATACTTCATTTTCATTACATTTTCTATTGTGGATCAATCTGCTACTACTACAAGTGTCAGAAGAGCCTGGCTGTCCTCCCCTCCCTCCTGCCACACGACCAAATTGTCACGGATTTTGAACTAGATTTTAACCAGAAAGTTACTGTTGTGAGTTCCAATGGCAATTTCCATGGTTTTCTATTTTCTTAATATCTATGTATAATTAAAATATCCACATGTGCACCCCACTACTTCTGTTGAGCTAAATTACAGAAGTAAATTGTTGACAAAAAATGTTAAATAATTTGGTTGGAGGGGAAAAAAAAGGTATCAGGCCAAGTGTGATAATCTAAAATTTTAAAGTAACAGGTGGTGACATTACTTAGACATATTGTCCATGTGTTTTGTTTTGAATTTACCTCTAAGGATGTTGCAGAGATGATTTCAAAGTCAGGCAGATGCTTCATGACTTCCTGATATATTTCTCTGGCATCCAAGGAGTTAAGAAACTGGGAAGGAAAGTAAACTGCTGATTATAAAGAACTGTTAACATCAACCTCATTTATCAGTGATTAGTACTAAATTATCAGCAAAATTATTCTGATTTGTTCTTTTCCATCAACTGAAAAATACAATCAATAACCATATTTGATCAACTTCTTTTCATATATGTAATAGCAACGTTCTCAGACAACTGCTTTTTAGCTTGCTTTTCCACATTTATCTCAAGATACTGAATTTTGTCAGAACGGGTGCTAGAAGTCCTCAAATTCAAATTTCAAACTAAATTTTAAAATCCAGTTTTAAAAGCTTCAAGTTTAGTTTTACTGCCTTCCCTAAGTGCGTGGTATGTATTTCTAAGTTTCAGTATTTCATACCATGAAGGAATTCATACAAATGAGTAAGTTGGGTATAAGTTGAAAATGGGTAGGTTATGAATTTAATTTCCTCCTTTTAAGCATACGGACAACAGTAGCAGCAATAAAGTAACAGGCCATACTTGATGCTGAGGAACATCTCCCATCACTTAAAGGAGTTAAAGCTGCCATGCAAAGGTAGGAGGAGGTCGCAGTATTAAAACAGAGCTGAACAGAATCATCCCTACTGCCAGACAGCGTAGGAGTGCTCTCATCACGTTTGTCAGTGCTCTGCTCAGAAAAGCATTTCTCACAGTTGTGATACTTGGGGCATATTCTTCCTGGAGGAAAAAGTAGGGGCACGTGGGAAACCTCCTAACCTCGCCTGGAACAGCTGGAGAGCAGATTCAGGAGTAGCTCTTGGGCCTGTCACAAAGCACATCCCACCCCCAGGATTCCTACAGCCACTCTGTGAGGCTCCAGAAGAGGTGGCTTAGCAGGACCAGAGGCTGGTGCTACTTGCACCGTTGCTCTCCTCCACTCCGCCTGCACACCAGCAAGCTGCAGACTACTCCAGGGATTGCTGCCTTAGAAACCAAGTGGGATACAAACTCATAGGATACACAAGTTTAGAAGACAAAAATTAAACAAAGAAACAGAAAAACAACACACTCCCATGCTATCCTTTCAGTTGTATATATGCAATCTGGACATCATTTGTGTGTTCTTCTGTCAATGCCATTGCCTTATCTTATCTAAATAGAGAATTTTTTTTAGAAACAACTCGTACCAAAACACCTCCTTTCTCTTTGTTATTTATGGTGGCTCCAGGTGGAAAGTATGCTGTAGTACTAGATGAGATATCTAAATTATCACAAAGCTCACCCTGAGTGCCACAGTCCATCCAGCCTACATTAGCAAGACCTTCCTGTAATTAAAAACAAAAAAACAAGAAAAAAAACAAAAAGACATCACAAAAAAAAAAAAAACAAAAAAAACAAGAATAGTATCTTTAAATTTCAGGTTCAGAAATATTACTGAAAATCCCAGCAAAAATTGTTACATACATTTAGAAAATGGAAGGAGGTCACGTTGTCAAATGTCACTTAACATTTTTAAAGAGCCATATAAAATGTGAAAATAATTCCAATAGTTACTAAGTCAAAATATATATCTGCTCTGAAAATCAACACTAAACATAAAGTTTTGGCTGTAACTTCAGGCTTTCAATTCTGTTTTTAAACTGCAGGTAATGCTTTCAAAATGAAACACTGCTTACCAACATGCCAGCAAGCTTAAGACGTGTTTGGTAACTCAAGCAATCTGCAAAATAAAAGTAATTTATTTGCAAACATAAGACTTCAGGTTATTAACTGTAACTACTCTTGTTTAGAATCACCCCTTTCTCCCTTATAAAGGCAACCCCTTCAAAAGACATGCTTCCTGGCTAGTTGTGAAGTATTGCAGTGACCAAGCTGTCCTGAAATTGACAACCAATGGTTGTCTACTGTAAGTTCAAAGTAGCACGAATAGCATTCTCTTGTTTCAAAGAAATATCTATTTTAAAAGTTATACTAAAATGTTTATTTGCTGTACTAAGACGCTTAAATAATGATATCAGAAAAAATTTTAATAAAAATAATGAAAAACATCTATAGGCTGCCTTGGAATGAGATTTAAATTAAAATATAAAATCCCTGTGATTAAAATTATAACAACTCACTGTAATATATTTATCATATGCTCAAATAATCTATCTAGACTTATTTCAAATAGTTTAATTTTCCTTTACTAAGATGACCTTTCATCCTCACTCTAACTGGACCAAAGCTGAAAACTTAATGACAAAAGGATTACAACTTGAAATCCAACTGTTTACAAACGCAAGTCACACTGCAACTCTGATTATTTATTTTTCAGAACAAAGGTCTCTTCATAGGATGGAGAAATCTTTATTTGTCAAAGGTGTAGCAAATTTCCTGAGCTCTACCAGCCAACCCAGGCAGCTTTCTCTTGCTTTATCTAATACTGATCCCAAGAGAGTCCATGACATTCAGCTCATTTTTAGGTATTGGTAGTTTAAGGTGGGGGGATTCATCCTTTCTTCCAATCAGGTACCATGACAAGCCAGCATGCAGTATCTCTTACTTGAGCTTGAGCTGGAAACTCAAGCCAGAGACCTTTTCTGCCTGTTTCCTTCCTGAGGGGTGGTGCTTGAGTGCTGTTTTAATGACTCACATGACATTACAGAATCACAATACCATAACCTTTCTATTCATGTTCCTTTAGTGAAAATGCCTGTAGAATGGAGCTTAAATGACCCCACAGCCCAAATATTGTGTTTTTCTAAGATGTTGAACAAATTTATTCTTCATTACAAGCAGAAGTGATCATGTCATTGTCAACAAGAACACTTTTTCCTGTTTGCCTTTTTGATGAGCATAATACACCTACCCCCACGTTCAGCACAGAAGGTGATCAACCAACCGAGGCCAGAAGCAAATGAGGTCTCAATGGCATTTACAAAATTTCCTGAGAACAAAACAATTTGCATCAGTTTGTGACTGGTTTCAGTATAAACTCAAACAAGCAGCTTTTATATTAAGTACAGAAAACACTATTTTTACTACCAAAACCAACAGCAGATTTTGGGCAGACGTTGTTTTACACCTAGCTTCTGCCATCTTTTATAGCGTAAAAGCAATTTCAAGAGCAGCACCCCAAGCAAAATACATGAATATTACCTGCCCACAGCTCAGTGACTGTGGTTGTAACATACTGCATGGCAAAGTTCTTTAAGCTCTCTTTTGACCTGTCTCCATAGTATTTCACAGGTTGCTACAGAAGACAAAGAACAATATATTTTATAAACTTTATTTGCTGACTTTATATACAGTCTGTACACACACACGTACACATGTATACCAGTGCTTTTGTTAACAGTACTTACACAACTGCCAGACTCACTTTTCCCTCCCCTCTCTGAAGATTTTTGCTGTGTTCTTCTTCTCTCTTACTGAAATGTTTGGAATTTAACCTTTATTTCAATTTTGTAACATGATTTCTTCTCAAGTCAAGCAACACAAGGGATGACTACATCTCAGAAATGCCAGCTCCTAACAATTATATTTTTATTTAAATAAGAATTAAAATTGTGCATATGCTAAATGGACCGACACGAGCAATCTCTGCACTCAGCCTCTCAAATCTTAATATTGTCAAAATATACCTAACGATGCAAGTGCAATTTGCATGCAACTCTTTGCAACTGCCTGTTAAGCAGCGGTGCCAAGGACAGCACGCACAATTCCTCTTGGTGTGCAGGAAGACTTGTGGAAGCAATTTCCAAGTTTCTTTAGGTATGCAGTCATAGATACAGATTGTTCTTTTACTACTATAATGGACTTCTAAAATACAAGCAGAACCTGTCTAAGGGTTCAGACTCATTGCTTTGCTGCTGCACCACTGATGACAGTACCTTCCCAAATCAGAAGTTTCCTTCTGTACAGCAGCTCAATTTATTTATTTATTTATTTATTTTTAAGAGAAAAGATCACAAGTTTACTGTTGGAGAGCAAAATGATTCAAGACAAAAACAAACCAAGAACAACAAGGCTCACAAAAAAAAAAAAAACCACCAAAAAAAAAAACCAAAACCAAAGAACTCACAGTATAAAACATGTACAGAAGTTAGCTATCTAAATTTTAATCACTATGAAGGAAGAGAAAATTTTCTTACAAGGAAATTAGATAAATGGAAAGCTGTATAGAAATATATGATTTAGCAAGGGTTAAAGAAATACTCTTCCCGATTTCAATCCTTCTAAAAAAATGCCTGAAATGTTATCACTTACCATTCCAGT